TTCTTTATCTACACTCACTTCACCGGCCACATCACCAGCACACAAGCACATGCATCATCGGTATCCTGAATACAGGTGACTCCGAGAGAGGGGGTAGGGGGAATGTGACCTCTCTCATATCCCAGACTTGAGTCATAAGTGTCTCTTCTTGGGTGTAAAAGATCTTTCAGCTTTAACATGTCCAAAGAGAACTGATCTTTCTCCCCAGACTTGTTTTATCTGTAGCTTTCTCCATCTCAACTGGTAGGAATCTCATATTTCTTCATTGCTCAGGCCAGAAACCTTTAAAGTCATTCTTGTTTTGTTTGTTTGTTTTTATCAGGGATTGAACTCACAACCTCACGCTTGCTAGAGCAGGCACTTACACCACTAAGTTATATCCCTGGCCCTTGGTTCTTTTCTTGTCTTAGCCCCTACTCAACCCCCAAATTATCAGAAATTCCTCCAGGCTCTAGTTTTAAAATATACTCAGAATCAGACAATGTATCACCATGTTCCCTGCTAGCAGAGTGATTTGAGCCATCAAAATCTCTCGTGTGGAATAATTCAATGGTTTCCTAAATTGTCTTCTTAATGCAACACCCTGACTGACCCCTTTCAATCCCGTAATGGCACTCATTTGCTCAAAACTTCTCAGCATGTCCCTACTTCACTCAGAGTGAAAGGCAAACTTCTTAAAACGGCTCACAAGGCCTCATGTCATCCAAAACGGCCATCCCCTTCTCTCCGAGATCAGCCCCAACACCCTGCCCACTCGTTCTACTCTAGTCCCATTGGTCCTCGTTTCCAGCATATTTCTGCCTCAATACTTGTCACACAACTGCTGCCTCTCAGTTGAATGTTTTTCTGTAATTACTTGGAAAATCTCCGACCTACTTTGCATTCTGGCCACACTGTCACCTTTTCAGTGATTTTAAAGTAAAATCTATCTTGACTTTGAACTCTGGATCCCCTCACTGTCCTTTACTTTTTCACACCCCTGTCTACTTTCTAAACTTCTATATTATTTACTTGCTTACTATCCTTTCTTAATGCATCCAGGAAAATATAAGCTATTTAAGGCAAAATTTATTGCCGTTTTGTTCCCTGTTGTCTCCCAGGCACTAGAACAGTACCTAGTAGATGGGCACTAAATAAAAATGTCAACCAGTTAATCTTATTACCAATTTGACTGGATTAGTAGATGCCAGGAGAGGTAATTGGGTCATGGTATGCCCACACTTATCGGTGGCTAATCCACTGACGTTCACAGTTGAATGTGCCACTAAGAGGTGGGGCTGAGTTGGAGGAAGAGTGTCACTAGGCAGGTGCATTTGGAGGGCATGTTTCTCACCAATGGCTTTTCCCCATGCTCTGCTTCCCAGCTGCCATGAAGTGATCATCTTGGCTGCACATCAACCTTCTACCACAATATTCCTGCCTTGGAATCAACTGATCATGAACTGGAACCTCTAAAATTACAAGCCAAATTAAATATCTCTTTTTAAAAATCATGTGTGTTGGGGTATTTTGTTCCAGGATCAGGAAAGGTGAGTACTATTCATGCATATAATAAATAAATGGGAGAAAAGGAGCAAAATAAGTATTTAGAAAGAAAATAGTAGGGTTTTGTAACTGCCCATATATTATTTAATAGAAATACATGCTAGGTAAAGATGATAAATAAAAAAAAACTTGAAAACACATTTCTCCCCCAATGACATACTAGTAGTGAATACATACATGAAATGATGCTAAACGTAATTAACTATTACAGAAACACAAGTCAATATTACAATGAAAATAGCACTTCACATCCACTAAGTTGGTTATAATAAAAAATGGTTAACAGTGAGTGTTGGTAAGGATACAGAGAAATGCTAGTTCTCTCACAATGAAAACAGCACTTCATATCCACTAAGAAGACCATAATAAAAAAATAGGCAATAATAAATGTTGACAAGGATTTAGAGAAATGCTAGCTCTCGTGCATTGTGAGTAGTATAAAATGGTACAGCCCTTTTGGAAAGGTCTTTAAAAATTAAACATCGAGTTACCCTGCCCAAGAAGTTCTAGTCTTACTTGTATGCTATCAAAAAAATTGAAAACACAAGTTCATACAAAACCATGTACATGACTATTTATATCAGCATTATAAATAATAGCCAAAAATGGGGGAAACACTTGCTCATCAATTGATGAACAGATTATCAACATATGAAAAACTACCCAACCATAAACAAGGATGAAGTACTAATATGTGCTACAAGATGATGAATTCTGAAAACATGCTAAATGAAAGAAGGCAGACACAACAGTCACAAGTGGTATGATTTTATGAAATGTGCGCAACAGGAAATTCCACAGAGACAGAGAGTAGATTCGTGTTTGTTAGAAGATGGAGAAAGTAATTAAGTTAATGATCATGGTGTTTTGGGGCGGAGTAATAAAAATATTTTAAAATTAAACACTGCTGACGATTGCATAACTTTGTGAATACAGAAAAAGCCCTGAGTTATATGCTTTTAAAGAGTGAATCTTACAGTACATGAAGTATATCTCAATTTTTTAAAAAATCATGACGGGGTTTTGAGCTGTTTCTCTGTGGCTTATATGTAAAGGACCTAGCATAGATTTACTGTTACAGAGGGCAGTGTCCAGCTGTGAGTTTAACAAAAGTATATCATCAAGGAAAGTGTCCTAGAGCAAAAAGTTCTTATGTGACTAAAGAAATGTGAAGTGAGAAACTTCTTCCTAGGAAAAAACTAGAAGGAAATTACAATGTAAGTCCTTGTATCAGGGAACATTAGTAACCATTAGGTAACATAACCGATTCTGTTTTGACTATCACTTTGTCTAAGACATAGAAATATTTTTCCAAAGCAAGGTATTTGCATTGACAAACTCTAAAAGATGGGGGTATAAAAATTAAATTATAACTAACAATAAAAGAAAGTTTGCCAAAATAGGAGAGCCCAAACATACTGTTTCCAGATGATCTCATTCTGTGTAGAGATAGAGCTAATGGGACCAAGAGACGTGGAGAATAACATCCCCTTTGACTAAGTTCTGAAACACCAGATGTCTCAACCGAGCGTTTGGAAAGTGTTAGAGGGCAGTCTGAATTCTGGTCTGGACTGTCAATTAAATAAATGGCCACAGGTCTTTGACACTGGACATGCAGGTAGCAAAGTCAACATGCTGACAAGAGAATTTGCGGGATTTATTTATACCTTTGTCTAATCAAGTAACCATTGTATTTCTAGCCTGAAGCGTACTCTTCATCTGAGAGTACAAAGTGTTCAGATTCAACAAAGAACACTAACTGTTTTCATCCAGACAAGCACTTCACAGAGAATTACATTCATGTTGTAAGACATGGAGGCAGAACTGGCTCTGAATATCCTAAATGCAGATCTTTTTAATTAACTGCCTTTCCATGCTTCCGTGGAATAACCGTAAAATACGTCACTTGATGTAGACCTGAGTTATCGATGAACTACCTCCAAAATTTCCCCACTTGAGTATATGAGTGGCCCACTTGGAGTTAGTTGATTCTGAACACTACATTATGATGCCGTTTTTATGTATGATTAATGAATGAAGGAATGAATTTATACTTCAAGACAAAATGGTTTTTCTTACATAATTTTAATAGGAATTCCATATGCTCTGCTATAAGCCTGAACTATTTTCAGATGTCAAAAAATGTGGAAGTTTTCCTAACTTTATATTTTGTTATTGTATAATTAAGTTTTCACATGAATAGATAACTTTGGTTCCTGATGAGAGGAAAGATCAAGCCGGGGATTTAGCTCAGGGGCACAGCCTGCCTGGCAAGAGTGGGGTTGTGAGTTTGATCCCCAGTACCAAAAAGAGAGATGAGAGAGAGAGAGAGAGAGAGAGAGAGAGAGAGAGAGAAAGAGAGAGAGAGAGAGAATCAAAATAAGCACATTCATTTATCATTTAGACAGTCAGAAAGTTGTGCAAATGGAGTATAATTAAATAGATCTTGACAAATATAATTTTTCCACACTGGCAGTTTAAAGTTCTTTATTATATATCAGCATTAATTACACAATTTTCCAAAGACATGGGCCTTTCAATGGAAAAAATGGGCTCAAGATGTTGGAAGTTACACAATTCTTCAAACTAGGATAACATACATATGAGGTGATGCCATCCCAAGATCAAATGACTCATTATTGGAAAACTGTTCCATGTTTGCTCAGTGGATATTAGAAAATGCCATTTGATCAGTTTTTTTAAATTCTAACTACTTTTATTTTTCTTGTTTCTATATTTATTCAAGATTTCATATACATCACTTGTAAGACAGATATATATTAATATATTAAATATGTTATATACATATATACATACACATTCGTATATCTATTCTAAGATCCTTGCAGATTGTTGGTTTCCATCCACCATGGAACTAAGAAAGGCAAACCTCACAAAAGAGAAAGTCTCTACACCTCAACATATCCGCTTTTATGAATCTGTAACAAATGCAAATTTCATCTTTTCATGCTGTTAAAAGGGAAAAAATGGTGAATTATTTCTTGATTTACATTTCCTGTATTACTTATGGTAAATAGAAAAACCAGCAAACTCGACTTCTCTTTCTTGAATTATTAAAGAGTGTGTGTTGCTTAAAAAGGCATTTTCAATGACCTCTTGGGGAGAAATTGCAGAATGGAAAGTTTTCCATCCAGTTTCCATGGAGGAAACCATCTTAATGCTTTTATAATTAATGAGAGTATTTCATTTCAGCAGTGCTTAAAATACAATTACTTCATTTACTTTTAGAGGCTTCATCAAAGTGGATTTTCAGCCCATGTTCTTCCCAGCAGGTGCCTGCAATTAAATGAAGTCCTCTTACCCGATTCCTTTCCCAGGCTGTGAAGTCCTCTTTGAGCGCACTCACTCACCAAGCATTCATAAGGAAGGCAGCGTTGCCAAGATTCGCGAGGCCCGCTGAGAAAGTCATCAGTGCTACAAACTACTGACCTTACCCTAAACCCATCTGCCTGCAGGCGAGCTGACTCAGGGTCTCCTGCCAGCCATCCGCACACACGTGGTGTTCTGTCGCAGATCGGTGAACATACAGGAGTGCAGAGGAGTTCATAGTTTTAGAGAGGGTCACTGCAGGTAAAAAAGTAGGAACCCCTAATTATCACATTTTTTTCTCATGAAATTGAGTAATAACTTTATAATCTTTGGCTTCAATTGCATATATTAATTCTTATTTACTTGGGTGAAGAACCTTTTGGTGAGTCCCCACCATAGGCAGACCACTGCTCTCAGTGTAATGGTAGACTAAGAAAAAATGAATTAGAGATGTTCTTTGTCAGTTCTCTGAACTGTACGTACTAATGAAATAGACAGCTCTTGATTTGCCTTAAACCAGAATACTGTCAAAGGCAAGGCCTACTGTCTTGACTTTACCCAGCGATTTGCATAATTGATTATAAGGAGCTAGGTGTGTAACTCCTCACAGCCTTTCCTTTGGAGAAAGCATATGAGATTGCAAATGTGTGAAGTGATGCTAATTAGGATTAATGTGGTGTATCCACTAATTCCTACTTTACCAAAAGCAGCCTCTGTACCTCATTCGCCACAGATCACTTACTAAACAGCGTGCAGTTGAACACAGCACACAAAAATTACAATTTGTCCAAATAATTGCAAAGGACTGAAAAAAGAATTCAGTGAAGGAGAAGATTGGTAAAAGTGGGGTGAAGAATTAATCAAATAACTCAAGATTACAAACTGCCTGTTGGCAACACTGTGGCAGACACCTTTGAATCCTGCCCCAGTAAGGAACTAGATAGTTTGAAGTTTCTTTTTCATGCAGAGCAAAAGCAGAGTATATAAAGGAGCCACTTAATATCCGGTTCCAAGAAGCATCCATGATCCAAGAATTACAGAACATTAATCATTATTGAAACCAAGTGATTAAAAACAATGAAAACCTATTTAAGAAATTATACAATTGCACAAATCTGAACCCCAAATTTTAGACATATAATGCAAATGTTTCAAATACAGAAGTAACATGGGGGAGAGACTTTCTGTGACTTACAAATAACATCCGTGAATTACCACTGTCAGCTTTATAGCAGTAAAGCAAAATAGATGGACTTGGCTAGTCAAATCTGTGAAGTAATTCAGGATTTATTTAGCTTAAATGTCTGACGGGCACTGGAGTGTGTGGGCAGCTGGCAGCCGCTAGCAGCTTACCGCAGTTCCATTCATCCGAGCTGTCTGAGCAGTCGGCTTCCCCGTCACACCACAGCTCACGCGACACACACTTGTGGTTGGCACATTCCACTTCATCATCTTGGCAAAATGCTGCAAGCAAGAAGGAAGAAGACTGAAAATATGGGAAATATCTGTGACTGTCGCTAGCATGCACGCTCCCAGTTGCCAGCAGGTGCATGACAGGAAGAAATTATGTGGCCACTGAGCCTTGTAGGCAGGTGTCAGTGCAGAGGAACAGAACGTGTACAATCTCATGTCATAGATGTCAACTCATCCAAATATTTAAACAAAATGACTGTCTCCAAGTGCTTAGATTCTCTAGTTTTAACAATTGGGCTGAAAAAGGAAAGGGTACCCAGAGTGACAAACACACCGAGGGTTAAGGAACAGGGTTAAAATCTGCACAAGCAAAGCAGGAGGAACAAAGTGACTCAAGCAGCCATAAGAAAAAAACAAGCTGTGTTCAAACAAATGGATATATAGATAGATAGACAGATAGACAGACAGACAGATAGATGTTTAATTCTGTGCTATTAAATTACTCTCTGAGACAGACACAATTCTCTCTTGGATTTTTAAAACACTGTAAATCTCTATGCCTACGTAGCATCTATTTCCTTTTTTTAAATGAAACATGATTTTGTGCACCACACCTGCCATCCCCCACTCCAGAAGAAAACTGATTAGTTTAAGTTGGGCATGACAATTTCCCAGTTACAATTATTCTTCTGTGAGTACAATGATTAGCCCAAAAGTAAACACCAGGAGCAGAGCCTGGGTGTGTGGTTTTGTGGACTGTGCTCTGCAAGACGACTCCTTCCAGATCCTGCTGACCAAGCCATGAGCCCTGGCCCGGGACAGACACAGCCTGGAGGAAACAGCCTTTTTTTCTAATTAGCTCTCCCCACATGGTGTTCCTTTGTGGAATTCAGCTGTTCTGGATGGTATCTTTCTAATCTATATAAAGGTTCCAGGCTGCCAACTGTGGCTCTGCTCAAAAATCTTTGAGTGATGTTCCAGTTGTAAGAGCAAATGTATTGCTCCTTCTGATTGGATGCAATTAAGGGAGCTGGCAACCTAAGTGCTTGTGGCTTTTGATCAGCCAGCCTGGGGTCAAGCAAAAATAAAGGAATTATGAAATATTATATTCTCATATACAGCCCCTAGAATTCACCCTATACTTTCTTGACTTGTTATCTGATGGTATAAAACATATGGGATACACATGATAAAAATGATGAATATCTTATTGGCAGAGTTTGGCTTTCTGTATAAGTAAATAAATCTTAAGAGAAATAAATTTTTGGCTGTTTCCAAAGATGATTATTCACTTAGATGCAAAACAATTTTTAAAAGGAAAAACATGTATTAATTCTAGCACCCAGAGATTATGATTGTAAACTGTTTATGAACTTCTGACAGAGAGAGTGTCTTACAAAGGCTCATTAATTAAAGGTAAAGGTCAAGATCAAGGTCAAGGTCAAGGTCCCTAACCCATGGATGCACTGGAGATGGTGAAGTCATTTAAAGTTAGCACCTAGAGAAAGACATTCTGTTCACAGGGGGGACACCCTTGAGGGAGATTTTGGGACATGACCTTTCCTCCTCCTCTCTTTCTGAATCCAGTCATGAAGCAACTGGCTATTTCTGCTGTGTTCCCAACCATGATGTGCTGCCTCAATACAGGCCCAAAGCAAAGGATCTCCATGATCGTGGATTCAAATCTTTTTTTTTTATTCAAATCTTCAAAACTGTAAGTCAAAACAATTGTTTCCTCTTTTTAAGTCAATTATTTTGGGTATTTTTTTTTACAATATTGAGAAGCTAACACATCACCTAAAGATATATAATGAACTCAAGAGAATTATTCCTTTCTAGTTTGACTTTAGTGTTTGCATATTATTTTTGGTTGCATTTTATATTTCCCAATTGTAGATATTTTGGGATGCTTCAATTTTCAATGTTATTAACAGTGCTAGAATTTGATTGTCTTCTTGACATATATTTTACCTACAGAGGTTTAGTTTAAAGGTCTGAAGAAATCAGAAGCTTTGGATACAAACTTATACCTTATATTCAAAGTGAGGTAATTGGTATTTATGATTTTTAAAATGTGTTGACAAATTCATGTAATCACGTACAGCAGTTTTTTTCATCCATATTATCAGGACAGTCTGGAAATCCATCACAAATCACTGAGTGCTTCAAGCATTGTTTATTAGATGGGCATTCCCAAAGATCTCTCTCTTTGCAGCCTACAGACAGAAGAAGAAGTTATTTGCAATAGATATGGTTGAAGACAATGGTGAATTTGATCAAGCAATATCGAAAAATTATAGCAAAGGCCTCATTTCATTTTTCATAAAAAATTCTGACACCCACGGATATCACGAATACTGCAATCTTCAAAGTAGAAATAGTCAATAATCTCTATCTTATGTTATAAATAACACAGTTCCCCTAAAAGAAGATCAAAATCAACATATGGGATAGGATAAAAATGAAAAAGCAACTATACATTAGCATTTATCTTTAACTGTTCTTTTTGCTTTCTGAGTCAATGTGCCAACACATAAGACTTATGTGATGAGTTAGAATGAATTATGCTTTTAGGCAAATATGCCAAAACCTAAAGATCAAAATGCATATGATCTTTAAATGTGATTTCAGTCTATAAATTTAGAGGCCATCTGGATGTTTAGCATAAGAGGCTCCTTTTATGCTAAATACCTACACAACTCATCTAAGAATCAGGTGGGAAACCCATCACTTTTGGTCAAAGAGCTAAAGTTGGAATTAGTATGAGAAAGGAAGACAGTTTGGACAAGATCATGACTGAGAGTCTGTATGCCGAACTGTAAGCTGCTTATGTAATAGTAAACAATTTGAAAGACTTAACCAGAAGTTCCTATGTCTGCCAAAGCATTCCAAGGGCCAAAGGCATTCTAGTCACTCTCATCAGAGCTAGTCTCAGCCACCTGCTAGCTTAGGAAGGAAGAGACTGCCTGGCATTAATCTCTGAGCGCCCTTTACTCTCCTGTCTAGCCAACACTTAATAGTCCTCCATGGATGAGTATTTTACATGGAACTTCCTTTCATATAAGAACAGAAAGATCATTACTTCAAGGTGAAAGCATTGCAAAGCAGTGATCACATAAGCACCTCTTTTAAAATGTTATTTCTCTTCTGATCCAGTACAGATGATTCAGAGAAATTTTGTAGATGATTAACTCTGGTTTCTTGGAATCCATTATGAGAAAAAAAATATGCTTATTTCAAAACTGTCATTCAAAACAGTTATCAAAATAATTTACCAACACAGAAATTTGTACTTACCTAAAATTAGATTTAGAGAATATTTTACCACCCAAAGACACTAGAGGAAGAGTCCTCTACAAGACACTCATCTGGAGTGACCTTAGACACAGAAACATCTACTGCAGGAACCCATGGATATGATCCTTAGCGGTCTGAGCTGGCAGAGACTGCAGACCTCACTGGCAAGGTCCTGACAATGATGCCATCTGGATATTTGAGACAGAGCCTGCTAACTGCCCTGTGTAACCCAGTTCCTGCTGAATGGCATAGTCTGCTTACTCCACCAGAGAGCAAAAGAAATCAAAAAAGAAGGCTTACCATCCCACAGTGCCTACCCAGTTCCAAGCCTGCCACACTCCTATCGCAGAATGCACAACTTGCTAGCAGAGAGTGAAAAAAAAAACAGTGCAAGTCTTTCTGACTACATACATGGCAACCTTCCTCACAGTATGAAGAACTTGGATGTTTGCAATGAGCTGATGAAAGACCACAAAAATCAATCTTTGAATGTGAAGCTATCTAAGCTGCATCCCCATGAATAACAATGATAATATATGAGAACATTTGTTATCTACTACATATCTACACTTTAGATATTAATTTTCATGCTTACCATAAAATAAAAATGTCAGTATTATGATCATCACTTTAGAAGTGAGAAAACTAAAGATTAAAAAAAATCAAATAACTTGCTGAAAATTACAGCCCGTTAGCCACAGGTCCAGATGGGATCTAGGTATGAGTCTTCAGCAAAATGGGAACATAACACACACACAGGCAGGAGGGAGGGAAGCACAGCGTTAGAGTCAGACAACAGGACTGCAGCCCTGGCTGCAAATTTCACTAGTTGGTGACTTTGGGTCAGTTACTCAATTTATCTCAATTTCAGTCGTTGTTTTGTTTTGTTTTGTTTTGTACCAGGAATCAAACTCAGGACCTTGCACTTGCCAGGCAGGCACTTGTGCCACTGAGTAATATCCCTGGCCCAATCTCAGTTTTGATATTTCTAAGATAGTAATAATAATGTTGTTATAAATATTAATTAATTCTACCAACATTCATTTACCCTTTTGTACATTTTTAAAAATTTTGTATAGCCTAATATCTTCTTTGGTGCAGTGATACTGAACATAAATGAGTTAGTATGAAAAGGACAGTACATTAGTCACGAGGAAGATACTGTTCTTTTTTGAGAAAATCTCTCTCTCTCTCTCTCTCTCTCTCTCTCTCTCTCTCCCTATTTCCCTCCTGCTCCCCTTCCCTCTCCCTCTCTTTCTCTGCAAAGTGACATTTTTGGTACATATATTTTAAATATGTTTTCTAAAAACAAAAGAGTATGATTCCATTTAAACAGGTATGAATGAGGTGGTATTTTTTGCAGCTGTAGGTTAGGAAACTAAATATCTGTTGATGTTGGAATAGCCACCACCACAGCCCAGAGAAAACTATAAAGCCCAGTGTGTGTGTTGGGGGGGGATACTGCTCAAGTGACCAACTTATCCTGCTTACCTGCAGCTTTCCTAGTTTGAGCACTAACTGTCCCTGTCAGTACTAGGAACTAAGTACCCCTGTCACTAAGAACCCCTGTCAGTACTAGGCAAACTGGAATACTTGCTTACTTTAAGTGGGCTAAGTATTCTGCTGGGTTCTTTGCTTACAGTGTCTCTCATTTTCACAAAAATCTATGAAATAGGTTTCCCTGTCAAAGGTGGGTCCCATCTGAACTTGAGGACCTTGTTTCTCTACAAAAATAGCTATCTTAAATCATCAGGACATCACTTCGAAGCAGATATTCTAAAAGAATCACTTACTTAATCATGCAACTATAAAGGAAGTAGGTGTGCTTTTACTCTTAATTCAATTGGAAGAAACAAAAAATATCTCACCCTTCAGGCTGGAGAAGCTCAAAACCAAGAAGGAGACAAGATGAGTCTGGGTCCTTGAATAGGCAGAGGCTTGAATGGTCAGGACCCAGCCATCCTGGACTGATGTGTGCCCCAGGACATGGCTGTGGATGTGACCTCAGAACAGATCACAGGAGTTGTAGCAATGGAGCTCAGGTCTACGAAGCAGACACCCTTCTGGTAGGTGACATACCATGCAGAGGACTTTGCCCCAGCACTCACCCTGAGGACCTGACTCCCCAGTGAGACCAGCAGTACCAGCACAGGTCCCACAGTTTCCATCGCTGGCTACAAAGGCTCTACACCTTTTTCAGTCCCTGACACCCTGTTAAAGATGCCATCCTCATGTTTTTTAAAACACGGGTGCTCTGGGAAAGAAGCAATACCAGGAAATGGAAAAGGCTGGGGACCCCCCTCAAAAGCTGAAATCCTGGAGACAGGAACATCTACCCAAACAAGCACTATCTCCAGAACCTTTAAAACACCATCCCGATTACATTGGTTTATAAGAGGGAGGACCTCACTCATTGGACATTAGATGCCAGCCCAGTCCCCACTGCCTGAATCAGCTGTTGGAAATAAGACAAAGCCAGACAGGGCTTCATTCCCTAAGGAAGATCATGGACTTTCCTATCTCCATGGGTACATGTTATTGTCTTTGGTAAATGTGGAATATCATAAGCATTCTGAGCTGTGGAAGATGGAGAGGAGGGTTCTTTTTATCTTATGGGTGATACTTAGAGAAGTTAACTGATTGGCCAAAAGCCATGCAGCCTTTAATTCCTACGTCAGAATTTAAATCCAATTCTAATTCTACACAACATGTAAGACAGAAAAATAATTAATCAAGTGGCAAAATAGGAAAGGGAAGTAGAATGCTTTTCCCCTAACACAGAAACATTAAAAGCTACTGAGTGATCAGAGAGTCATCCTAGAAACACATTTGGAGGTAGGCCACATGTGTGGACAGTTTAAAGTATTCTTCCGTTAGCCCCACAGCAAAGACTAGTCTCTTTCCACAAGCAAAGAGATGTGAAGGTACAATGATTGTCTATTTGGGATGACAAGAAAGCCCTTTTGCGTGAAAAGTTATGCAAATGATGCTAAAGAATCCAAAAGGTTAGAAAAAGCCCTTTGAAAAACTTTTGAAATCAAGCTGCAAAACCCACACATATGACAGTCAGAGCTTTGAATACATCCTATGGGGATTTTGATTCCAAGGAACGGTTCAGGTTTTATTTAAAGATTTTATTTTATTTGAGCCTAAGAAGAAACCAAAGATAACTGACAATGATCTTTAATTTGAAGACCCTCTGCAGTTTGCAAACTCCATCTGGGGTTTACCCTTTTACTTAGCACAGTAAGCAATTAGTAATTATGATGCTGTGTTCATGAAATGAAAGATTTTATTTGGACAGAAGATATAAAGAATTTATTTCATCTATGTTCTCACTTAGCTGTAGCACTGAGAAGACTCACTGCTTACACCAGAGCCCCGGACCCCATCTGCCCTAGTGACCGAGGACATCAAGCCTCACAAGAGCTCCTGTCCACCTTCTACCCTCCAACCCAGTGTGACACAGAGCTCGGACACATAGATCCATTGCCATTCTCCTCAGCCCGCCTGCTCTGAGGTCAATCCTGTTCATTTCTTTGCCCAAATCCTTGCCTTCCTCTCCGTTGTTATGAGTGCTTGGGAAAGCAACAGTGTGTTAACAATGAATGCATTTTGTCCTGTTGCTCCAGGTTTTACCGATAGCTCCATTTATAGTATTTTTTATTAGTACATGTTCTTAGTATATGATTTTTATATTCCCTGTGAGGAGTGCTACATGTGCATAACACTCCTTAATTCCCTTTTCATCTCTTTTCCCTCCCTTTCCTCCCACTCCTTTCCTCTCTTGATCTCCTTCCCTTCCCACCTGAGAAAGAGCTCTCTCCCCACCTCCTGCTGTCTTACAATTTTCTGTTTATTTATATTTCGAGTTTCTCATATAAGAGAAAACGTGATATTTAAGCTTCTGTGTCCGATTTACTTCACTTAACATTATGCTCTCAAGGTGCGCCAACTGTTAGGTTACAAATCAATTCTGCAGGGATCCATTTGGTTTACATACTTCTTTCAAACACTTTTTGAAAATTCTAATACCATAACCTTTTCGACTCTTGTTTACATTCACACTTACACAGTCAAAGCAATTTCAGTGACAAACATTTAAGAGCACTTAAGAACAATATTATTCATTGCTAAGCTAATACACATATTTTTAAAGGGCATTTATAAGGTAAGTGCTTTAACAACCATGTTTTCCAGCTAAAGGGACAAGGAGTAAAATTAATTTCTAGGATATAGATTATTTATAACTGAATTAAGTACTGTCTTGGGAGCTAAATCAAATAACACCACTAGATGGTGGAGGGAGCTGCAGATTTCTGACAGTGAATAGTCAATCTTCACATTATTCAGTAAGGCCCAAGCACTTAAGTACCCTCAACAACACCATGGATAAAATAGACTACAAGGTTTAAACTTTGAGTGCCACCCAGCTTCATGGTACAGCTGTTTACATTGCCAGATAGCACTGTATGCCTCTGCACACAGGAAAACAGACAAAAAGGAAGACAGGAACTGAATGAATACTAATCACCCTCCATTGGGCCTCTGCCAACTGACTTCTGTGTTTAACTCTGTGTGGTGTTTATTCCCAGGACACCAGTGGTCCCACCACACTGGACCACTTTCACCAAAGGTAAAAGTGTACAAAATTTCTGTCCTAAGTCACTTCAGGAAACCCAAGGAGAAGAACCTTATAAATTTACACTCTTGGAACACCTGACTTTTCTCCAAATGTACGAATTTCTTACCTATTTTTAAATTTTTAAAGAGCTCTCAATAGTGCTGTCAATATTTTGAACGTTTAGTACCTATTCCACAATTTGTTTTATAATCTTGGTGTTGCTTCAAAAATGTGATTAAAATATTGATTGAAACTCATTCTTTAACAAGAACACTGATGTTTTAAGGCCATTTGAACTCTACACTATGCTATATTATAGAATTCTGAATGTTTTTGTATAACATATTCTAGAATGCAGACCTCTCACTCTTGGAAAAGAATTTTTCTTAAACTAAGCTTTTGGATTTCTCAGCTATTTAGTCTTCTCTTGAAAATTTAGATCTAGCCACCCCAACAGAATATCAAGCAACCTCTTTGAACCATCAAAGATAATTCATTTTAAATTAAATCTCAAAATTCCTACCAAAGTCAGTGTTAACTGAACAAATCTCAGACATTTTCAATAAACCACTTATATAAACAATATGCAATGAATCCTGATATATTTCTAAGGAAAAATCACAAACAAGAAAATAATAGTACATTTACACAACACTCTACATTCCTCCAAAGCAAAATTACCCCTGGTCATTGTGCCATCATTCTGACAGCTGTAATTTTCCAAAAGATGCACTTGTCCATATTTATAGTAGTTGATAGAATTTCAGTTGATTGCTTATGACATTTTGTCTAGACTAGAAGGGCAATGTCTACTACAGAAATTTCATTTTGGAGAGTAATGCAATATTTCATACCTCAAAGGCCAAAGGAAAGAAATGATCCCAAAAGATATATTGCTTTATGTTTTCTCAATGAAAAAAAAAGTGTCAGTTTTATTTTGGGGCATGACAAGTGAAATAAGCATAATGAAGCTAATCTTCAGATAGCCTTTCAATCACTTTTTTAATAAACAGAATACTGTTTATTAAAAAAAGCATCGCCCATTATTAATTCCTTGGCACATCCTGAGCTTGCAAGAACCAAGGTTTATAGGGAAATAAAAAGGAATTAGCTCCACTTAAATTACCACTGGCATTTTTGGCCTTTCCGTTGGTGATTTTGGAGCTCAGGGGCAGAAATGTCAAGAAGAGCTTCATCCTTTGTGACAAAAACAAAATAAGAGAAGGCATGGAAATGAATCTCAATTAAATTTGAACACTGGAGCCTGAACTCTGTCTTCATGTATCTAGATACCCACTTGACAGCACAAGAATCACATGCAAGGGCACTATTATTCTGCTTCATAATTTAGTAATAATAACGATTCCTTACATTAAGGACTGTTTCCTCCTTTTACTGAGTGTTTGTACACTGTTGTGCTTTGTGTATGGATGTCCCCTCAAAGCTTCATGCAGTCATAGGGATAGGCCTTTCAAAGATGGCTGAATCAAGAGTTTGTGATTGGTTCACTGTCTAGTGCAGGGATTGGAGTTATGAGTGCAGCACCCACCCCGGGGCAGGTAGCTTTCATACAATATAAAGGAGGGAAAGCAGATTGTTCCCTTTTGATTCCTTTTTCTCTTGTTGCTTTGCTGTTTCATGCCACCTTGAAGTGTTGCCCTGGTGCCATGCCACCCTGCTTTGGAGCCAGCTGGTTATGGACTGAAACCTCTACAGACTATGAGCTAAATAAATCTCTCCTTTACTTAATTTTAGGTGTTGGGTATTTTGTTTCAGCAATGAGCAAAAAGTAACCAAGACACACAGATTATAAAAAGAAATATAAAATTTAGGGGAAGTCACACCAGTTAACAGGAAAAATACATATCAGACCGTGTCTTATGCCTTGATATTTAAGAAGAGAATGCATTAGCATTCAATCCCTGTTAGAAATTGCAACTACAAGAGCTGCATACTTTCAACAATATACAGTTCCTTTTCCTAAGCACACATACGTACCACAGTTTTCTTCATCGCTGTCATCATCACAATCAGCCTGACCATCACATCTTCTGAAAGCCAGAACACATCCTCCTGAGTGGCACTTGAAGTGACTAGGTGAACATTCTGTTAAAAACAACACTACTCTCAATAGAAGAAACTCTGAAAACTAAGCTAATTTTATGTGTTTACTTGTGAGATGGTGTTGCATAGCTATTTCTGAAAATAGGATAGTCTTCCCAAAGGTGAAGACATTGAAGTATACGAGGGTTTCGTCTGTCTACTCCTCAATCAGCATCATTCTCCTTCCTGCTGGGCACCAACTGCAGATTAGCAGTAACGTTATTTATCCTTTTAAATAGAGCATCCTGTAATGGCCAGAGCCTAAATTACCTTATAGCACCAATGTTCCTGACCACTAAATTTCCCTCAGTATCAAAATCATCTCCATGTCTTAGTATTTCCAGTTGGTGAATAGGTCTCCAATTCCATTAATAATCCTACACTATGAGGGCCTCCAAATGCTCTGCACTTGAATGAACTAAGGCTTGATGTTCACTATTACTTTCAAGACTCCTTGTCTATTGGTAGCAATCAGCTCTGTAAGTACCATTCAGAACTGATAAACAGCTCAAATATTATACTTGTCTCTGAGTTCATTTTTACCTCTTAAAAAGTCTTCATTTAAAAAAAAATGATGACAATGTCTAACATATGGATGCCAAAGTCTTCAATGTAATCAAGTCCATACATTCACTCACTGATGCAGGCTGACTGGCTGCCAATGGAAAACAATAATACACCCAAAAGTGAAAGACTTGCATGCTCACCCACATTAGATACCCACTGTAAGGAGTGAAAAATTAACCTTCTACATCTTCATCAGGCATTAGGCAGGTTTGATTGTCTGAATTTTCCTCTGGAAATTGACTGCAATCTGTATCTTCAGGCCACTGTAGACCCACAATCCCAAGAACAGACTCACAGCGTTCTTTAGAATGCTCACACAGTGCTCTAAAAGAAAAGGGGAGACAGGTGTCAGAAGTAAAATAACCTCACCTGAGAAGTACATTAGAAATGTATTTGAGTTTGATTCTGTCAATGAAGGTCACAGACTTCATTCTCTGTAGCTATGGAGGGTATATACAAATATATAGACATGCACACATACATAATAGTTATTTAGGGAAGCAAAGTGAGTCATGTCTCTACAAAGAAAATATATTCCAGCAAAAATAAATTTCACTGCAGAAAAAAATAGAGATATTTCCAGGACACCAATTTCCTTCTCCACCTTGGCCTTTTTAAAATTCTTTCTTCCATCTTCCAAGAAGACACACTCACCAACCTTTTGTTCCAAACAGCAAAATCTACAGTCATTTCTGTAGCCTGCCACCAAGGACCATGGGTTCACACCACACTCCCATACTCAGAGATCTCTCCCTCTGATAAACAAGTGCCGCCCTAGCTTCCCTAAGGTGTTGCCTCTCTTTTTGGCCAATATTGCTAAAAAGGCCAGCAGTTCTCCCACATCCTTGTATGCTGAGATCAAGTTAGTTACAGTGAAGTTTTTTTTATATGTATTTTTAAGGAAAAGACACAAACATCATGGTAGGTGCTTTCATGGATGTTATTTCATTTGTGCCCAGAATATATTTACTTCGAGGTATAGATCTGACTTAAAGATTTTTTACTTCCTATGGGAAAAAATGTTTTGTTGCAATATATTACTAAGAAGTGTAAATACATAGAAAAAGTAAACATAACCAAAATAATCTCTTTTTTTCTGTGGTGAAATTTATTTTTGCTGGAATGTATTTTCTTTGTAGAGATATTACTCAATTTGCTTCCCTAAATACCTATTATGTATGTGTGCATGTCTATATATTTGTATATCCTCCACAGCTACAGATCATGTGTCTGTGACCTTCAAGGACAGAATCAAACCCAAATACATTCTTAACATACTTCTCAGGCAAATTTATTTTCTTTCATATACATTTTCACTTCTCAAAGATTTTACTCCTCTAAACTACAAGCTCAATCCAAATATCCCAAATATGAAAGTGCACCAAAATCCAAATTGAAATACATTAGATTTTCTGTTTACAGAGTTTAGAAATACTCAACCAATAAATTCTATGCAACTATTCTGAAAAAGTTCAAAATCTGAAACATTTCCAAAACCAATAATGTTTCATAAAGGATATCTGATCTGTATAGCTAATTTCAACTACTTTTTTTTTTTGTCTTTTTAGATAAAACAGGATAAATCTTCCAGGAAGATCAGCTCTAGCCTTGACAGAAACTGGTAGGGAAGGGTTGGAAGTCAAGTTAGGAAGATACAGAGAAATTCTGCTTATGTCTGGTAAGGCAAAGCATAACCAACTTACCCTCGAAATCCAGGGTGAAGATGAAGCCATGGCATTCCCATATTCAGTTTGTAAAAAGTTCAGTAGTGTTCAAAACGATCTCATATACTAAATAATTTTGTTGCAGATATATAACTATTCCATATATTTCAATTGTCTGTTATTTTAATATATTTATATGGAAGACTATGAAGTGGCTAACTTTACCCGTTCTGATTTTTTCTATGAAATAGAAAAAAATAACAATACGCATCACAATTTCAGGGCCACAGTCCTTATCAGAACCTGTGTGTGCTCAGCCACAGCCAGCAGTTTGGATGGTACACACGGCGCTCAAAAGGTTATGATGAGCCTGAGACAGCAAAGTGGCTTAGCACATGGTACAGGACTGATTTTTCTCAGGCATATAACTTGAAAATTAAATGTCAGAATTAATAAATAGACTTGGAAAAACAACTGTGCGCTGTTTCATAAGCTTACTAGCATATTATTCTTGCCATAATATAAAGTTTTATAAAATTCATATTGACAGCCCCTGAAGATTAAAAATACATAGGTAAAGCTAAGAAACAAAATCAAAGTACCAAAACAATTTCACTCAAACACTGAGTGAACAACATCTCAGAATAACCTGATCTTAGTCATTTAAATATGAAATTTAAACCCTGAAATTATGAATTATATCTGGACATAAAGTTACAGTTACAGCCATGCTGCATTATATATATATATATATATATATATATATATATATATGAAAAGGAAATAAAATATGAAAATTTTTAAGTATTAGTAAAAGTAACTATTTAATATTACTTGACTTTAGTTAGCAAAAAGAGGGTGATATTTACAAGTAACCTTTCAACATGAAATTGGTAGATGTTCTATAATTGATTGTTTAAAAAGCATTTAGCAGAAATTCTTAGAATTCTTGGGCAAGCCAACCTTAAGTTTCACTCTCTCCATCTTGCATGATTGTTCAGTTCCACAAGTCACTTTATGTTTTATTCTTTCCTGCCCTGACTCATACATGCCCCTCATTTGTCATCCATTTGATATTCAGCATTTAATTTATTATTTTCCCATCTGTCCACTATATTGACATTATTGCTTTTTCTGAAAGCAGTAAGCGACTTCTAATCCCAACATGTGGTTTCTGTAGCTGCCACTCATGTCTACCAAGCACATCTGCGTAGTTGCCCTGGACTAAAAGCAGCACCCAGGGCAGAAAGCACCCGTGTGCATTTATTCACCCTGTACGTGCGAATTCTTTGACTATGACCTCTAACACATGGCACAGACCAGCAAACTGCCACCAAGCAGCTGTGTTCCTGTGCTATCATTATAGGGCTTAGCATCCATCAGAAATACTTTACATGGATGTACTTGTGTTTACTCTCACAACAGCCCAGTCCAATAACCACCACCATAGAATTTCACTAGGTAAAGCAGCTGAGGCTGAGAGACACGGAGCAATCTGACTTAAGACTCTTAGCAACTGGAGAAGATCCAGGACTTAAAATCAGAGAGCAGACCCCAGAGCAGCACTCTTGACCCCTAAGATGTTACTCATAGCCCAACCCCAAGCCAGACAGGCAGAAAACTACATCAAATGCTGCTGGAGAAAGTGGTATGCGGACCCCTTCTTTGTTAAGTCAGGTTTTAAAACATGCTTCTTGAACCACCAAATGAAAGGCCTGTGATTGTACCCGATTGCCGATCATCCAACTGTTTGTAACTTCCTTGTTTGGTACCCAGACAATAAATACTGACATATGCATTTTACAATACCTACTTCTTTGCTTTTTGAAAATATCATTTGTGAAATTGAGCCCCTTAGCAACATTTATTTTCTCTAAACTCAGCTTCATTTCCTTGGTTCTCTCAGAGATAAAATTGGGGGGCTTGCTGAAGACCCTATCATATTACCTGCAAGGAGGGATGCGCTGGCTTGTAGTCACATCACACTTTGGGACCAAAATGGTACAAGCAAAGAACATGAGGTATTTGTAACAGTTGGTCGGAACAAGTGCGGGAAAAAGAGAGGATTCCCAGCTGATGGATGCTTCCTTTTGAGTCCTGTGGCCAAGGTAATTGGGATACTTTGTATGGTTGTAGGGCAGGTTCATGCAGAGTTCCAGTGTTATTGGTTCACACTGACCTAACAAAAGACACACACAAACATTTCTTTTCTATTTTAAATTTCACTTGTAAAAACAACTTCTTTAAACTTTACAAACTGAAAGTCTATTTCATTCTTTAGAGTAGCTAAGACTAGGATGCAAGTGATATATGACATTTTCTGTGGACATCAAAAAATAAAAACGTTGGTTAGTGAAGTGTGGTGGTGAACTAAGACTTATTTCTGTATATCTGGCTGCCAATCAGTGCTCAGTACAGATGCATTAGAAAGTCTCATTTTTTGCCTTGAGTCTGCTTATCTAAAAGTAATTCTCTCTCATCACGTCTTTGATACAACGGCATTCATCTTCTTCATCTGAATTATTACTTAGAAAATAAAATAGGTGCCATAATCTACACTACCACTCAAAAACACCAAAGAATTTGATTAAATAGGCAGTTGGAGAATTTCCATCGTATGCTTTATTGTTGAGCAGTGGCTTTACATATATGGATACAACTTTTCAGGACAAATGGAAGCTGAGATCCGTTCAATACTGTTTTCCCATGAGGATAAAAGCTGGATACTTTGGCTTGGAATCTACGTCGCTCTTCAATCGCAGCCTAACTTGCCGACATAGGACTTTGCCCTCGACAGATCGTTGCTACAATGGATTCTGATCCCCTGCAACACCTAAACAGTATGAACTGCATGTCTGGAGGGGCTTTGTTGCTCCTGTTACTCCTCTTCTTTTCTTGATATACTTGCAATCACCCCCTGAAACGGGGCCACCTTCTAGTCTCTTCTTCCCCACCACGCTAACCCCTCCTTGACTCAGAGGACTGGGCCCAGCACCACTCCCAGGAAGATTTTCTGGCCAACTGTTCCTCCTACTCCTACTTGCAGAGTGAGTCTTTTTAGGGTGCCACGACTTCTTTCGCATGCTCCTGCCACACCCTTGAAGTACTCTACAGTGCTCTGTACTTATATCTTGTCCTCCTTTACATGACTCTGAGATTTTTGAGAAGTGAGAATTTATCTCAATCTCAGTGTTTGCACAGTGCCAGGATAGAGGAAGAAAATGGGATTGAAAATGTGTCACAAATGGTCCTAGGACCTGCAAAGCAAAAACAATGAAAAGCAATGCCCCTGGCATTGAGCACTTCCACAATCTAGACAGGGGAAAAAATCATGTACTGGTAGCCATGAGAATAATATACATAGCTAGAACAGAGTTTGTCATGCACTAAATGTTCGTGTCTGTCTCACCCCCAGATTCACATGTGGAAACTTTGGGCCCCAGAGTATGGTATGCAAAGGTAACACCTTTGAGATGTTATTAGTTTAGATGAGACCCCGGTGGGGATGGAACATTCAATATGAGAAAGGTGTTCTTATAAAAAAGAAAAAAAGGAACAGGAAGAGACTAGAGCACTTGCTTTTTCCACTGTGTGAAGATAGAGCAAGACAGTATCTGCCTACAAACTAGGAAGAGGATCCACACCCCAGACCAAATGAGAAAGTACCTTGATCTTGACCTTCCAGCCTCCAGAATTGCCAGACACAAATGCTTGTTGTTTAAGCTACCCAAACTAACATATTTTCCTATCGCAACCTCAACTCATTCAGACAGTGGTATTGAGCCAAATATTAGGGACCTCGAGGCACAAGGGCAACCAAAAGACCAACAAGAGGAACCTTCAAAGATAAACAGATTTGGGCAGGTTTAGGGGATGCAGTGGAGAGGTTCTCAGTCCCTTTCAGGTTCACTGTGGCATCCACATTCCCTGAACTGAGAAAGGTAATCAAGTAAGCATCTTGGTAAAATTAGACCAAGCAGACTAAAGATCCCATGTCCTATTATTTGAATCAAATAAAAGTATTTGATTAAGAAATGTTATATGTTCAAACAAATTACTAATTTAAGGGCTGGGGTGAAATATTACAATAGCACTGATACTGCTTCATAAAGAATTCAAGGGCTTCACAGACAGTAAATTTATAAGGAACTTGACACTGGCCAGATTAAAAATGAAATGGACAAGCTATAAGGTCCTCTCCATTTCCTAGGGCAGATATGACTCTGGGAAGTTGCCATCATCATGAGGATGAGTCAAGGGTGGAGAGAAGAGGAGATGGAAGAGGATCGATGCTGACCGTTCATCGTTTCCCATGATTCATGAAGAGGAGAGTTGTGGACTCCCAAAGTTCATATATTGAGATCTTAACTGCCAATGTGATGCTATTTGGAGAAAACTGGGAACATAATTAGGTCATGAGGTCAGAGCCTTCATGAATGGGATTAGTGTCCTCAATGCAAACTCAGAGAACCCTCTTGCCTTCTTCCTACCATATGAGGACAAAAAGAGAAACTGAGCAAGCAGGCAGGCTGGACGTGGTGATCTATGCATGTAATCCCAACTACTCAAGGTCTGAGGCAGGAGGACTGCAAGTTCATGGCCAGCCTGGGCAACTTAGCAAGACTTGGTATCATAATAAAGATAGAAAAGCCTGGGAATGTAGCTCACTAATGGAATGTCCCTGGGTTTAATCCTAGAACAGGGGAAAAAAAGCAGAATTTGACTGTCTACAACCCTCGAGAGGGTCCTTGCCAAAAACCCGTGGTGCTGGACCTCCAGCCTCTAAAACTGTGAGAAATAAATTAGCATTTATTTAGTTATTGATAAGCCACCTAGTCTACAATGATTTCTTATATCAGCCAGAATTCAGACAAAAAGCAACATTTATGCAGTTTGTTTTTATATTTTAAAAAATACATGGCATTTGTAAGAATAAAAACATGAAAAACAGAAACAAATAGTTCATTAGGTCCTCGCTCCTTTCTCTCATCTGGTCTCAAGACAAAAAACAGGGTTGAAATCCTCATGTCTTTCCTTGTTCACATTTATACACACAACCATTCACAGACTTGGACAGATCTGTGCTCACCTTTGCCAAAGCGGCATCATGCTAGTTCCATTCCTCTTCACCTTGCTTTAGGTGCTTCATTATTTATCATGACCACCTTACAAGCCACAGATGCAACTCAAACCCTTCATCTTTTCCCCTACTAGAGCAACAGTTTAAAAAAAATATAGAGTAGTTTTTGTTCTGTCTGTCCCCTCTTACACATCTTCCTGTTTTCTATTAACCACTCCAAAGCGCTTTAACTTTATACTGTTACATTTTGCTAGATGATTCATATAATATATCATATGGAAAATTTTTCTTCCTTTTAAAATGTGAAAAGTATATCACTTTTGATTTGTGGTAAGATGTAAGTTTTAAGTGTTTCAGAGCCAAGGGAGATAAAGGGGGTAAGTAATGACCTTATATTATTCTGGAAATATTTATCAAATGTGGTGAGGCTGATTAGATGTTGTGTTTAATTTCTTTCTAGAGCAGTTTTTAAAGATTGCTGGGCAAGTTAAACTGTCGAGATGCTGTACCAATCAGTGTAGGTGCTGTGATTTATATCCATGAACTGTTTTATGTTACTGCTCATGCATAAGTCTGATTTGCAAAAGCCACTAGAGGGCGATCGCATCACAAATGCAAAGATGCTTAAATAGCACAGAGCTAGATTTCCAGAGCAGGCTCAGTGCAGGACCTGGAAGAGTCCTGAGCACAGACAAAGTTTAATAAATATCCTTAAAAAAAAAATAAATCTAATGGCATGTCAGTGGACTTTCACCACAATCTGAAAGAAGACTTACTGAATTCAACCTAAAGATGAGATTGTTAGCTAAACAATGTTGCATCCTTATCGTGGTGAAATGCTACAAAGTCACCAGACATCATGCAGTCAATGGTGGTTGTTTACCTGAAAATGTCATTTTTCAACACCTGCTTACACCTGTACTAGTCAAAGGTTTGTCTTTGTCTCAACCTTTAAGCGTCCCTTCGTCTTTATTATTTCTAATTGTTTGATGAGTTATGATAAGGTGAGCATCCATATACTACCACTCAGGTCCAGAAACTCAGATTCGGCAGAAGTCCAGGAACTCCATGTGTCTGGTCTTATCTCCATCTTGTCCTCTGTCCCCAGAGTAGCTAATGGTTTTCACAGTGATCACTTCCTTGCTTTTCTATACGGAGACTGTGTTCTACTCCTTGGTACCGCAGCTTACATTGGTCTATTTTTTCAAATTTGTCTTGTCTTTTCATTTTTTCAAATTTGTCATATCTTTTAAGTCTTTCAAAATCTCTGGATTTCCCCTCTATGTGCTTTTCTTTCAGTTTCACTACTGAAAAACTTGGAGACTTGCCCCATAGAGCATCCCCGAGTTTGGATTCCTCTGATCTCTGGCTCCTGGGAAGGCTGAGCATCGTGGCCACCCATCCTCGGGCTGAATCCACTGAGGCCGACTGCAGCCGACCATGGCCAGTCTTCCATCCGAAGCCCCGTTGCCTGTGAGTCTAACCCCTTTATGGGGCTTCAGCAGCTGCCGATGTTCCACACCGTGAACCTCTCATTCACTGTGTCATCAGATAATAAATTCAATCCACTCATTTCTCTTTCACTCTTGGTTGGGAAGGCTTTTCAAAGACATTGTTCTTCCCATATACTATTTCCTCCACAGAACCAAAGCTCTTAACCGTTAAATTGCTTGGTTTCTTTACCATGTTCTTATGCTATTTGATTCTTCCAACCAGAGCTTAAAAGAAGGGTAGGGAATTATATATCAATAAGAAAATGCTCAACACAAAGCTGTTCCTTTTTTTTTCTTCCTCCATCCTCATCAGAGACATAGAACACGGAGACCTCAAATACCTCAGCAGACACCGGAAGTAAATGTGGATAACACTAGGAGAAATCTGGGAGCACATCTGAGCACATGACAGGTACACTGGCTTTGCAGAGCCATGGCGAACACGTGGGCATGCACAGAGAAGGGGAGAGGCATGCCCGGGAGTCACTCTTCCCGCAGGTTCTCCTGGCAGCCCAGGATCCACACGAGACGAAATGACTGAGCAGCACCCCCAGCTCCTACTCACCCGCTAAGGCAAGGCTATGTTTGCATGCTGCCTCCCAACAGGGCACAGAGATGTTTGTGAGGGGGGCTGTGACTAGAATAGGTAATGATATACTGATGGGCTTAAAGCATCCGCATTCTATCAAGGAACAACTTTTCAGCAGCCTTAGTTACCCCTTCTAGTCACAGGCCAGCTTCACAGACACACACGTGTGCCGTGTGCCCAGTGCCTTCAAGCATTAGAATCCAAGCAATGCTCCCGAAACTGTCGCCCCATTTGCCAGAATATCTGCTTCTTCAAAACTCATTTTCCGAGGGCATTATGCAAAAGGTACCACTATTCACTTACACCTCAGAAGCTAAGTAAGAATAATTTATGATCTCGGTGCACATTTTCAGATGATCAATTGCATCCTCAAGGGTATGACACATTTTGTGACAGTTGATGCGACTTCTCCAGCTTTACAGAGAACCAAACACACATCCCCCTTCCCAAAGCTCCTTGAAATAACATCCCACCTTTCAATCAGAGCCTAGGCCTCTACAGTTTTTCATAACAGAAGAACTGAGAGACGAAAGCCTAACTGACACCAGTGGCTGCAACCGAGAAATAGTTCAAATAGTTGCTGTCTGTATGGACAGAGCCTCACAGGATTATATAAGATGCACAAGGAAGCTGGTGAATGGTGAGGGCTAGGGAAACAGCATGTTTAAAGAACATTAAAAGATAAACAAGCAGAAAGATTACAATATGTCCTCCACCTTGAAAGCTACCTCCAGTAAGCTGGAAGCATCTGTCTCTCCTTCACCATGAAAGAGTTCCGTGCTCATCGGATGCCTGCAACTTCACACACACCCTATAAATGTTGCTCGACTGTACAAGCCAGAATCGCCTTCCTACCCTTTCTACAACGTCTTCTCTGGACAGGTGCCAACATATTTTTTAAATTTTTAGATCTGGAAGTATTTAAAATATAAAGTAGGGTAACACACCCAATGACTCCTTGCCTTGCTCACCACAGACACAGGCTGACATGTTTCCTTCTCCTCTTCTGAGTCCATCAGTAAGTGCCATTCACATCAAGCAACCCCCAAAATTAATGAGAAACACATGCATTATATAACTGTTAGTACTCAAAATGATCCGTCTCAAAGTACAGATAAAATAAAGAAATAATTCTGTAAAAAGTTCCAGGGAAAACTGAGAGATGAGCAAAATGAAACAGAGAAAACACTGGACCAAATATATACTACACACATGTGCACACATGCGTGTGACTATATGTATACATAGATGATGTATATTGAAGTCCATTTATAGGGAATAAAATGACGATGCAAATATGTCTTCTTAATGGCCAGGCTGATACCTACTTTATTTTCCTAGATTGCTGTGGTTTGTCAGTTTGAAATGCATGTTGAAATTTGATCTCCATTTTAAAGTTAGGAAACTTTGCATGCAGTGAGAAGCTTAACTAGACTGTGATGTCAGAAGCAGTGTCTTGGGGTGTGATTGGGATTAGACGGTATCACCAGGGTGAGACCCCAGGATTGAATATTGGTGGCCTTTTAGAAGAAGAGAGAACTCTGTGCCTCTCCCTGTGATGCCCCGAATAACATCTGTTCTCCGCCAGCCAGAAGGCTGTTGCCAGAGGCAGCCCCTCGGCCTTGGGCTAGAGCTATCAGACCAAAAGTAAACCTCTTTTTGTACTTTACCTGATACATAGCATTATTAGTTCATAAAAATGGGCTAACATGTGGGAAAATTGCCCCCACAGATAAGAAAAGCAGATGGCTGGGTATTGTGCTTCCAGGCAGTCATCAAGGTCTAAAATAAAACTCAACCAGCCTCACCATAGAATTGGCTGCCAGCCTCAAGTCTCTTTATTAACCCACTTGTTTCACCCTGAGACTCCCTGACACCCAGTGGATCACACAAAAACTGCAGTAAACCCTGGGTCCAGAACTCATCGGCCCTTCAGCCTTCAATTTGCAACAGCCTGGCTGAGAGGATGTGTGCTCAGAAGTGAGTCCCAGGCATCCTTGTTGGTGTGGTCCCATAATCTAATAAGCACTTTCGGGGACTGACACAGGGGGATCATGAGTTTGAGTCTGGCTTGGGTAATTTAGTGATTTAGCAAGATCCTGTATCAAAATAAAAATAAAAGTGGACTGGGGATGTGACTCAACGCAAAGGCCATGGGTTCAGTCCCCAGTGCTGAAAAAATGAAAGAAAGAATTAATAAATGACTAGATCTCTGCCCTCAATGTGATGCTCCTTCTAAATTTCTAGTACTAAGCTGAAGAAGAAGCAAATATTTCATTAGCAAAAGTAGGGGAAAGTAGGTATAATATGAAAACAGAATCCAGAAGTAAGAAATCCTTTCTAGAAATCATCGACTGGAGATTTTCCGACTGCTTTTAAACTTCTCATGAGAGTCTATTCACAGTTTCTTCATTTCTGCCTGTTTTGTTTTCCCCAAATAATTCTTCCTCCCGAAAACCAATTTAGAGAAAACCACCTGCTTACACCATTTGGGGCTATTACACTGTCACTGCAACAAATTAATGCAATGCTTCCAAAACCATTCTAGGTCCACAAAGTTCCCAGAGAGGTGAGAACAAATGTATTAAAAGAACAGGCCATTACAGTTTTATGTGGCTGTTCAACGAACTTCCTATTTGCCTCATAGATAAAGTTTCCATTTTTAAAGCTGTGCTTTTGAAAGGAAGAAAGATAACATCTGGCTGCGGACAGAGCCAGGCAAATAATATATAGGAGCTGCTGTTGAGTTGAAAGTGATGGTAATGATATTAAGCAATGTGGATTTATAGTCCACTCACAATGACACATTTGTTTCTAGTTTAAGTTAATTAAGACCATTTTGCTTCTTTTCTGCTACCACATGTAACCTTTTAAAAACAGAAAGGCAAACAGACCAATTTTTTGGAGAGACTCCAGACATCAGTAGTTTAACGTCAACGTGAAAGGAAACATTGTGATGGCGTCTGTCAGCTATTGTACTTACTACAGTTATTCAGACCGTTGTCTGGGTCACACAGGGAGCTACCCCCACATGAATCGAGGCAGGAGCTGAAGAGGCATCTTTGGTCTCCTTCTTGACACGGAGTCTGAGCTGCAGAGGGGGAAAAGCACAGTGGCTTTCATCATCTGCAGATTTCTTGCACTCGATCTAAAGTAGCATCTTGATCTAAAGGATCAAGAACGTCTGGGCGATCTGAAGAATGACACAGCTTTAATTTTCTTCCACTTTCTCCAAAATTATGAAACACATGTGCGACAGGTAATTTCTAGATTCATATTCCTGGCAACTGAATGTAACCCAGTTATTGGCAAAAGGATTTTATAGGAATAAAGATAATAAGAGACAACCTACACTAAAACAAATAAACAAAAAAACAAGAAACAGGTGGTTGTTACCATCAATGCAAACAAAAGTAGTGCTTTATCTTTACATGGGCTGCTCTGCTTGATTACAAAATAAAATTCAAGTGATTTGAGGTAGAAAAAGCAATATAAAGATCTTGACTTTCTCAGTATTAAATAGCATTATTTGAAAACCTCATTTGCTCCCTACTCTAGTTTTCCCTGTAAGAAACATGCTGTCCCTAGTAATAAACAAGTCATCATCACCACTGCAATAAAAAGATTGCCCATGGTAAAGTCTGTGCAGCTGCTGTCTGTATTGTCAGTATGTCCTTGGGAAATGTCATCAGTCTAGGCTGATGGCCTGAGAACTGGGTCTCTTGTTTCCAAATGAATGACAGCAGTAACGTCAGCCTTGGCTCTAATGACTTTTCCTTAAGGTATGTAGAGAGGAAACTGCTTTTCCCATTGATTTCCTGGTCATTTGTGGATTAAGTGGATGAAGTAATAAATTACTACCCATTCACTTTCTACCTCTCGCTCATTATGGTCAGTTGCCTTCGGACACGTCATCTGGATTCTAGACAATCCTGCAAGGCAAGGCACTTTTTAATATAAATAGTTGTTTGTTCAAATGTAATCCTTCTTATCTGTAATTCTAAGGTATGTTTATTTACTGGAATCCTTCTCCTTTGCACGTCCACTAGCATGCAATGTTCTGCATTACTATCTTGCATATAGAAACTATTTTTATAAGCCAGTAAGGTTAAACCTTTATCTCAAGGCAGGGCGAGCAAGCTGCATCCATTTAAATTCTTAAGGAAGTTGTAAGACATCACGCATTCCTTACTTCAGTAAATATTAAGTGCCTGCTGTGTAACCATTGCTTCACTGAAGAAACAAAAAGCAGCTGCTGCAGACAAGGGGAGTAGTGGGACCTTTCCCAGAGGAGTTTTCCAGACAGGTGGGGTAAGTTGCAGTGAAAGGGAAAGATGGGTTTTCCAACAGAAAGCAACACAGAAAAAGACCTGGGATAGGAAAGTGCATGGTTAAGCGCACTGGGGTTTTCAGCATCAAGAAAAGTGAGGGAGACCTGACACAGCCAGAGCCTGCAGGGTTTTAAAGGCCTGAATGTTCTGCAGAACCCAAAGCCTTGTGACCAGAGGTTCCTGCTTGCTTCCTGAGGCATCCAGCAGAACAAACGGGCAACTCCTGATGAGGTCCTCATGTGGACCATGCTCTCCCTCATCCTGGGCATCCTGAGACACTATGGCCTTCCCCACCGCAGGGCTTTTGGTCAAGCAGTGCCCTGTGTCTGAAATGCTTTGCCGAACCCCTGTGTTTCTGAATTCTGAGTTCCCGGACCTCTTCTTCAGAATGCTTTCCAGGGCACGCACAGCATCACAGTACCCTGGAGCATCCTTTGCAGCCTACTTCACCTCTTCATAGATATCGGCCTGTGTGGTGTTTGTAATGTGCCAGGAGCCTGAGACTCCGTCACCTATTCACCTGGCCACTGAATTCCTAGTAGACGCACTCCACACTTGCAACGAGACACACATTTTAAAACTGAAACTACTAGAGTAAATAATTTAAAGAGGCCTAAGATAGTGGCACTTGTACATAATTTCAGCACTCTGGGAAGCTGATTCAGGAGACTTGCACGTTCAAGCCCAGCCTGGGCAACTTAATGACTTAGGAGGACCCTGCCTCAAAATTAAAGAGTTGGGCAAGGGGCCAGAGATACAGCACATGGCACAGCACCTGTCTAGTAAGTGCAAGGTTGTAAGTCTGATTTCTGGTAACAAAAAAAAACAAAACAACTGGGCATTCTGGGCATATTGCTCAGTGCAAAGGTCTTGTGTTCAATCTCCAGCACTGCAAAATAATAATAATAATAATAATAATAATAATATAAAGATACTAATATTTTTCTTTTTCTAGCCATTTTATAATATGACTTTCTTGCATTTCACACATGTAAGGAAATAATCTATAGATTCTGCCATTTCATCATGAGCAATCTAAAACTATTTCAGATCACATAGGATTACATAGAAAGAATTGAATTACATAGAAAAAAATAATTTGATCTAAAGGGAAGTGTTTGGTTGATATGCTCACCTTAACTCATGTCTAGTGAAAGATATCCTTTTGAATTCTAAAATTGGTAAAACAAAGCTCTCTTTATATATTATCTCTATGTAACTTTATTTAAAAGCTCTCCTTTTAGATTTTGGATGCCTTTTCTATTAAGCCATTATAATGATAAATATTCCTTATGATGAAATTAATTTATCTTCTAGTGAGACCAGACTCATATAGCTGACTATGGAGAAGTGCAAGGTAATCAATGATGTGCAATATTCACTAAGTTCTTACCAAGCATCAAAGCTGCAGAATAATTATTATTCTGTGTTTACAGCTATTGAAAACTGGAAAAATTTGTGTAAAGCCAACCAGAGAGCAAACAGTAGAGCAGGCTTGAGACTAGGCACAATAGTACAGTGGTTGTACCAGGCTGTACCAGTAAAGCGGCTGTACTTACAAACCAGTGTTGGGATTTCTAAATTTGGGGATATTCCAACTAGCTGGACATCGAGATGCTTCCAAAAGCTAGAGTTAAAAATTCTAGTCAGCCTAGAATGTTCTCTTCTGACACAGTCACATTTTTAAAAAAGATTGCATATTTTATTTTTTCTACAATGTGGAATACTACATAGAAAGATTAAGAAAATTAAAAATTTTTATTCTTTTTTAATAATAATATAATATAAACTTATTTGATTTGTTTTTCATATTAAATTTCACGCATGGATATCACACTCTTCTTAAAATGTGTTTAAGTTCAGGGCTTGGTAAGGGGAGAGACATTAAACTGAGTCTTTGAACCTGCTTACGCTTTAGGAAGCTGATACATTTAATTTCGCAAGCCGGTTTCGTCTAATTGCAATCTAATTTCATTTCATTGGATGCTAGGCTCTAAAGCATCTGCATGGCTTTCCCCAGAAAACAGTGAACTGACCCTGAGCTCCCCAGGGCGTGTGCAGCTAGCACATTCTATGTACCCTTAGGAACAGCTTCTGGGTGGCTGGGGCTAGGCGCACACTGCATTGGGCCATCTGAAATTATGCATGTGGGACTCCGTAACTTTCAAAGGTTTTGCTTGGTTTCTTAAAAAAAAAAACCCTCCCTAGAAAGGGCCTGGGGGGGGGGGCACTCACGGGCGCTGCAGTTCCGCTCATCGCTGGCGTCCCTGCAGTCCTCGTCACCATCGCACTGGAACGCGCTGGGGATGCACTGTCCGTTCCCGCACTCCACCAGACCTTGGCTGTGACAGGCTAGGAAAGGCCAGAGGGAGATTCGCTCTGTTTATTCATTCTTCTTCCATCCTGCAGTTCACATAAATCGTCCCTACTTACCAGGCATCCCCGAGACATGAAGCTTTCCGCATACACAAATGGATACATCATTATTTTTCATAACTTCAACACTTTCTGGAATGGAAAATTTTCTTTCTAAAATATTTCTTCCTTATGGAAGACTGTGTACTAAAAATTAACTATTTCTTGAGAATCGTGGGTTTTTTTTCCCTTTGATTTTGGCAACAGTAGTAGCAATATTGTTGATAATATACACTATAGTTCACAAAGAGCTTCTTATATAGCAAGAATTATAGAAGGTGCTTGATCCCAGATCCTCATAAGAATCTTGAAAACTCGGTGTAATTGTCTGATTTGTAGGAAAATGAGCCCAGTAACAGGAACTTTTTGCTTAGCATTATGTCCTCACTCCCCAAGATCATCTTGGAACAACCCACTGTGTTCCGGTGGGTCCCTGCTCAAGGAACAGGTTGCACTCATTTCAAATTCTCCTCCTGACAACGGACAGCCAAGGACTGTGTTTGGATAAGTTTTTATGAGACTTTTTTTTTATGCCAGAAAAAAATCTGTGTTATCTACAGTTTTAGTTTTGCCTCAAATTATAAGTCAATTAAATATTTAATCTTATGTAAAATATCTATGAATTCTGCATGCCTAGATTTAACCAACCACAGGTGAGAAATGTTTGAGGGAAGTAAGATTCCATACTAAACATGACTTCTTTTTCATGTTGTTATTCCTTAGACAATACAACTACATACATGCATTTATACTGTGTTAAGCAGGCAGGGTAAGTTAGAGATTAAAGTATACAGAGAACGTGTGTAGGTTATGCACAAATACTGTGCCATGTTATATAAAGGGCATTTCGGATTTTTGTTCCCACTCAAGGTCCTGGAATCAAAGCCCCACAGATACTGAGGGACAATTGTTTATCGACTCTTTCTACTTGAAAAGTTTAACTAGTTGCACACACCCATGAAAGACATCATACTAACTCTTTCAGATTAATCACATTCTCTTTTAATACATAAACATCACTGTTCAATAATTTTCATTATTGCTTTCTGGGGACAATATCTTTTCTAAGAGGGCAAAATGGTTAATAGTCACACTTGGTCTTTCTAGTTTGGTAATGTAACAGCTATCCCCAAATTTTCACTCACTCAGAAACACAGTAATCAATGCAATGATGATTATGATCACACACGCTCTGCTTCACTGTGTGAACTTGACAAGCTCTCTTCTCCCTGGAATGTGCTTCATATTCACACACAAATGATCCTTGAGAACACTTCTGGAAAACTAAGTTCCTATATGGAAGCTTAGCTGCTCATATAACATTTTCACAAAAAAACTGGTCCTCTGGTCTTTGGGAAGAGCATTACATTTGGCAAAATGATAGCTGCATAAAGAAGACAAGAGCAGAGAGAGAAAAAGTAGCCACCTGGCTGCACCAGAGCCACCAAATCACACTTGGAGATTGGGGACAAGGATGTGAAGTCTGGGACAGAAACAAAGTCCTGTGTAAGACTCTTTCCCTTTGAAAGCTGCAAGTCTCAGTGCTGAGGTTTGAGTAAAAGCAAAACAAGAAAAAAACAGAAAACTATGTGCAGTATGTGAATCCTCAGCGCACTCACAGCAGTTGACCTCATCAGACTTGTCCACGCAGTCATGGTCACCGTCACACACCCACTCCACCGAAATGCAGCGTCCATCCCCGCAACGATGTTCCTTTGTAGGATCACAATCTGGACAAAAGAAAACTCATGCAGATGGGGAGATCTAGCATGAATAACTAGTTGTATGGATTACAGTTCCAGTTGAAGAGACACCAATTCCACCATTCCAATACCTTCAGTAACATTTCCATGTTGGTCCTGCCACACTTCAAACGGTACCTTCCACAAAGCCTGAGCCCACAGCCCACATTGCTATAGAGGAAGAGGCACCTGGGTTTTCTGTTTTGTTTTGAGCTGAACCACAACTCTGCCCAGAGTTTTCATGGAGCCAAGTTTTGTCACTGTTTGTTTTCCTGTGAAACCTTTATGATTTTTGCATCAACTCAAATCAACAGAACTGTGATTTGTGCTCCACAAAGCAGAGCTGATGACAGGTATTTGTGACAGATCTTTCATGGTTCTAATAGTAGTTAACTCACCTTTCTGCTAAATTAGGAAGGTGAATATCTCCTTATCTCATCTTCCTGATGCTACACTGAAATTTTCTACTAGACTATACAATTCATTTTTGAAAGAATTGCTCAGTAAACAAAACAAAGTACTTTCATGATTCTAGATTAAAACTCATGAGCCCCACCTAGATATCCCTGAAAGAAAAAATATGTCACTAAAAGATTCTTCTCATAAAAGGCAGAATCCAGAAGTTGTTTTGCCATGAGAGGTAACTCAACCTCCATGTAAACAGTTCTTTAAAGGTATGCATGGATTTACAAACAGCAGAGTTAATAATAGGAAGGTATCATGAGTTTCCTTAAATTACCAGAGTCACTGTCATAGATCACTAAGAGACCAAGACCATGGACCTTAAAAAGTATTTGGGGACAATAAAACAGAATGTGCAGAAGACAGTTCAGGAAAACACACACACACACACACATACGCACACACACAACACACGCATGCAGTGGGATACCTAGGTGAGAACTAGAAAAACCACTTTTGCTCTGCTACTAGCGATGAAAATCCAGAGCGGAGACCAATCTAAGGAAAAGTCATAGTCACTGCCATGAAATGAAGACAGTCTTGAGAACCCAAACTTCACGATGTCCTTCTTTCTTCAGAGACCTCATGTTGAGTGGAAAGACCAACCCTTTGCACACGGCAACCACATCCCGGCCCTCTCCACTGTCCTCGCCAGCAGCCAAGCTACACTCAATGAACCCCTATTTCCCATTATTTCACTGGGGAAAGAAAAGATTGGGTTGGAGGATCTCTGAACATCCCAAACCTATAAAATTTATGATGAATATAGTTGTAATTCTCTTCATCTCAAGTGTAGTAAATCTCAGAAAATAATCTCCACGTATCTACTCATCAGATGGTTTGTACACCTATACCTGTGGAGGAAATCCTATGGCACACGTGCCACAGAGGGCATGCAGAGCCCTCTCTGCCAGCACGCAAGGCAAGTCACCCCAGCACTGCCCCAGCAACTGAGCATTCTGTTTTAATTACAGTGCTGGCACTTTGCAATACATATGTGGGCTTTGGGTTGTGGTTTGTGTACTGGGTCTTTAAAAGATGTGCCATTGCTGACCTAGTATTTCTGTGATTTAGACCCTCCCCTCTCCAACTCATCCCTCATCTCAGGTTACTGCTCCTTTCCAACACTACTCTCTGTGCTCTCTAATGCCAAGCACTGTCTCTCATCTGTGCCTTCCCCATTCCAGCTGCCCCTGATGTTCATATGGCAACGTTTCTATTGTCAATCAATATCACAGTGCCCACACATTCTAAAGCTAATCACAAAGCCAGAAAATCAATGCATTAAATATCTTTTCCAGTTTAGTGACTTTCAGAAATTCTCATGACTCTTTAAAAAGCAAGTTTATTCTTCAAAAGCTAAAATGAGTATTTTTACATAAGGCAAATGTGCTCCCCAACCCTGGGTGTAGCTTCTGCAGGAGGAGTCCTATAGAGCTTGGATATCAAATATAGGAAGGGCTGTCGTTTAAAAGTACATGTCTGTCTCAAGGTTTTGCTCAAGAGCCCAAATCCAAATATATTCCACAGGCTGTTAGCAGAGAAGAAACAACATTTACACAGAAACAAATATATTAGAATATTAACAAAGCTTACCCGTCTTCCATTTCCACATAAGATGGGCTAGGATGATTGAACAAACTTACTCCTTCTCGAAAAATAAACCAACCAACCTTGTCATCTATTACAGTCAGCATATTAACAGATAATGAGCTAAATGTACTGGTTGTAAATTTCTGTAACTTTTGATTAAAATTTTTAGGAAAACAATGCCACTTACCACAGTTTTGCTCATCACTGAGATCCCCGCAGTCATCGTATCCATCACATACAAAGCTGTAATTAAGGCACTTGCCCGTGTGACAGCGAAACAGATCCACAGTGCAGTCTGTGAATGATTTTATGGAGAAGTTAGCGATTCTTTCCTGAAAATGTTCTCTCTAGAGTCAACATCTACTTTGGTCAATGGTAAATATAAGTATAATGGAGAAAATAAGCTGTCTAGAGTATAAAGCTATCATTTCTTTTAATATAAATATTACTACTATATCAACTGAGTGTCCATATCATGATCCTCAGATAAGCAAGTACTGTCCTAAGCCTATGATGACAAGAGGAGAATAAATGCTATGTAATCTCAGGAAGTGTTTATTTAATGTTGAAATCACATACATGCAGAGAAATTTTTTCTCAACATACCTGGATAGACTATAACTCCCATCCTGGTTCTGATGTTTCCTAGCTATGGATTTCTAGGAGTCAGTGAACTGATCTGTGAAATGGTGGTCATTTAATCCACTTAATATGATTTAGGATAAGAGTTTTTAGTAAAATAATGCATGTAAAATTCCAATAAACTACAATAAGAATGCTCTGTACAGCATATGTGTCAGGATAACTAGGCATCAAATAAGCAATAAATTAACTCTGACTTTCACCTCAAACCATGTACAAAAATTCAAGATATCACAGACTTAAAGGTAAGAATGAGTGTCGTAAAGCTTCCAGAAGAAAATATAGGGGAAAAATTTTTATGATCTTGGATTATGCAAAGAATTTTTAAATGTGATACCAAAGTCACAACAATTTGAAAGACATCGTTAAGAAAATAAATAGACAAGCCACATACTGGAGATTATGATATATCCAGAGTATACATAGAACTGCAACATTCAATAATAAGATAACAAACAATGCAATTACATGTGGGCTAAGGACTTGAATAGAAAGGCTTTGTGTAAGACATACAAATGACCAATAAGAAAATGAAAAGGTGTCCAACATTTGTAGTTCTTAAGGGTAAACTTAAAGCACAATAATGCATTATTATACATCTTGAAAAATGGCTATAATAAAAAAGCAGTCAAGACCGAGTACTGGCAAGGATTTTGAGAAATTGAAACTTTCATACATTGCTGATAGGAACATAAAATGGTATCACTTGGGAAAACAGCTAATAGCTTCTTGTGAAGGTAAATACAATCTCACACTACACAATTAACTCACTGACTTTACGCTTAGAAATCTATCCAAGAGAAATCAGATGTGTATCCACACAAATGTTTGTAAATGAATACTCATAATAACATTATATTTAATAGCCCACAACTGGAAAAAATCCAAATGCTTGCCAACAGATGAATGGACAACAAAAACATTATATTCATACAATGAAATACTGTCCAGTGATTGAAAAACCAAACTACTGATATATGTGACAGTACTAATGAAATTGAAAAACACTATGCTAAGTGAAAGAAGCCAGATACAAATATTATGAATCATTTATAAAATTCCTAGACAAGGCAAATTTGTACAGAGTTCAGAGCCCTGGTTACCAGTGTTTGGAGGGGTTAAGGGGTAGATCAACTGCAAATATTTGGGACAAAAATTTCGAGAGAAATGAAAATTTTCTAAGCCTGGAATGTGGTGATAGTTGCACAACTCTCTAAATTTACTAAAACTCAGTAGGATAAAATATGGTATATAAATTTTATCTCATAAAACAATAAAAGTGTTTTTAATTAATATAGGTAAAGAATCTTGCATTTTACAGTGACTTGATTTCTTAGGTGTGTATCTTCCCCCTTTAGTGCAAAAACAGCTTGTTTAAGGCTAGAGAAGAAGGATTTCAATAGAGTGGCTTTGATAAAAAGTTTAGCATGTCTCAAGTACAGGGAATCGTGAGAACGGGAAGGAAGCGAGCAGTGGAGGCACATCTGGAGATCAGTCTGCTTGGTGACGAGGACTAGGAGTCTCCAGGTGACTGTTTACCTCCTAAGTCTCATACAGTTGGTGCAGGGACCCTCCTTACTGTCCACCTCTCAAACACCCCAGATGTTGTTACCTAGTAGTACCCCTCTAAGTTCCCATGTTCTACAATAGGGCGACTAGAGTTTAGATCAATCTATATTATGAAGACCTAGAAGACAGGAATTTGAAGACTCTAACCTCAAAACTGTGCTAGGAAGATGGAAATTCAATTACCATTATCTAATCATTACACATTATAAACACATATTGAATGATTACTCTGTACCCCATAAATCTGTACAATTATTACACCAAACAAAATCTGTACAATTATTAACAAACAAAAAGAAAACAAGTATTTAGTATCGATCTGTTAAACCGTCAACCACATCAAAATATTACATTTATGTATGCATGAGTCACAGATAACAATTTTTAAAAAATCATTATTATGAAAAGAATCATCTTTTTAAAATTACATCATTTTTAGGAATGGGCCTTGGATATTATCTGGACAGTATCTTCATTGAAAAGATGCATGTATGTATAACACACGCAAACACATATAATTGTATACATATATGTTCACAGCTGTACACACAGAAAACGTTGCAAGCGCGTTTCATTTTTTAACTCTACCTACCCAAATAATTTTCACACAAGGATAGGAGTCATCCTCTCCTGGTTGTGGCCGTGACCACTCAGCAGAGGGCGCAGTCTTCCCACCCTACATCCCAACATTGAATGCGTGCGGGGTAGCTGAGTTCAGAAAATGTAGGACTTTGGTTTGCATGTCCACTGGGCAAACTCGGGACCTTGGTGTATTAACATATACGCATTTGCTTGCAAAGTTTAAACAATATTATTTTTTTGTTTTAATTTAAAGGACACTTGGGGGAAGTTTTGAATCAATGTATTATAATCAGCAATAACCAGGGAAATAAGGCTTCTCAACCTACCTACTAGTGCAAAAGGCCAAGTGTCCCCAGGAAGAGGAACAAAAATAGTGGTTTTTAAACCATGAATTAATTTCTTTATTTCTTTCTAAGCAGTGCACTTCCTTTTTTTTTTTTTTTTTTTTCCCCTTTTCTTTTCTCTTTTACGGGGAGTGTGCTAGGGAGTCAAAACTCCTTTCGGAATCCGATAAACATGAGAACACACCAAAAATTTCCAAAGCGTTATATGTCCCCCCATAGGCACATTCTGGACCTCTAGTAATTCATACTGAAACACCTCACTGGAGATATTTTTTTTAACGTGGTAGGAGGACAAAGGCATTTTTAAAATTCTTTATTCTCACAGATACAGATTCAACCTTCCACTGGTATGACTTTCTCAGTTAGAAGTTAGATACGAAATTAGCTGCATTTAGAAAATGGTTGTTACTTCCCTGAGGTCTGTGTGATTAGTAAACACTCAACACTCTGCCCAGAGGCACTGCATAGCCAGAAATACATAGCAAATAGCAAAGATCACGGCGCCTCCTTTTATTGGGATAAATGTTTATTTGAACTGAAAGATGTCAGCGCAATTTGGGGCCAACAATTCAAAATTTTCAAAAGGTGCTGGCTGAGATGATCTTGCTCAATACAGCATAGTTTTGCACAAATTTAGATAGGTATTTTCTGCCTTCAGCTCTTTTTTCTCAGGGAGCCCTTCATACAAAATGTTTCCTTGAAGTTCTTGCATGTTAATGTTTATTTCTGTTTGACATTGCACAGATACATTATTAGCTTTTGCCTCTCAAAATTATCACTAGATTCAAGCAGAAAACTAAGACATGGAGACTTTTTATTAAGAATTTCTTTCCATATTCTGTGTCTCTGTGACTAAACATGCACGGCTTGACTCTACTTGCAAGTATGAAGTTGTTTCCATCTATAGAATGTTAAGATGGGTAGCACCAAAGACAATTTCATCCAACTTTCTCACTCAAGAAAACCAAACATATTAAACATTTTCCCACCATTGTGTAGCCAATTACAGCAGAGTTGTGAGGGAAAAGCCAGCCTTCTTGACTCCCTGGGTTCCTTCCTCTACCTCTAGAGGTAGAAACACAATACTACTGATATTTTGGACAAGGTAACTCTTCCCTGGGTCAAGGATGAACGTTTAGCAGCATCTTTGGGCTTTACCCCCTGGATGCCAGTAGCATCACCCCCAGCTCTTCAGGGGTGATAGTCAAAAATGTCTGCAATGCAAAATTTCACTTAAGGGGTTGAGAACCACTGTTCTATAAAACATCCTCTGGCAAGGCCCAGATTTTCCATCAGCTTTTCTATACAACTCTGCTCCTGGTATCCTAATGTCTCTGCTCACAGGATGCAGCACCACTATATTTTTGTTTATGTGAATCTTGTTTGACTTCATGGCATTCTTTGTACCACTGCTTCAAAATACCATTTTTAATGGTTCTTTGTTTATATATTATTTCTGTAATTAGACTAACAGCCTCATGAAAAAAGAAATCAAGTCTTAACATGCCTATCCACTAGGCACCTAGGACATGCTTCACACATAGCTGGAATTTGAGAACATTCAATAGTTTGACTGACTCAGTATAAGGGGTTGTACTATATGAAAGTGATTTTTTTTAAACATTTGAAGCTTCCTCCTTTATCATATAATCAGATATTTTTATTATTTTAATGGAAATCTTTCTAGCATTTACCTCTTCCCCTTAGCAGAAAGATTATAGTAGATATGAACACTTTCGATGGGTTAGAAACATTATTTGGAATATCAACTTTCATTTTGTGCTATTTAGGTTGACTTTTTTCTAAAACAGCTTCATGTGCTGCAACTGTGAAGTTTGTTGTATTTTGGTGTCTCTAACGTCTCTATCATATATCCCCTGACCTTTATAGCTGTTTCCCTGGCCTCTAGGGGTTATCTTCTGCACCTTAAAAATGAGAGCTGATGGGCAGGGAAGGCAGAGAGAAGATAACAAAAGTAATAACAACAACAATCACAGCCATCAGTCATAAGGCCCTTCGAGAGCCATTGCATGCCATGTATTGGTTTACATGCTTTATATGCAGTGATTCAGTTCAAGAGATAATTTTGTTTCCACTTTTTGAAGAAATTGAGGCACAAAGAGGTTGAGGACTTGTTCAAGTCCTCAGAGGTAGGAAATAATAAAGACAGGAACACAGGCATCCTGACTCAAAAACCTGTACCACTAACTACCCTGTTGTGATATAACTAGGAAAGGATCACCTTCAGAAACAAGTCAACCAATTTTACCCAAAACTCAAGGCAAAAGTATTTGATGGTGTTTTTGGTGGCATAAGATGTGTGAACTTTACAACAGCTATTTTCTTTACATTCTTTACATTCAGTGGTACCTTAACTGATGAATACTTTTGTTTCAGGAACAAAATTTTTGTTATTTTTTACAAACTCTGTTTGGGATGACACACATAACCATAGCCATATTTTCCATAAACACAAATGTGACCATCTTTTCCAATATGTAGAACAAATCAAGTTCCTGAATCAAGGCACCACTGTATATGCATTGACTTGCTAAGGACTGCTATGTAACAGACTGTTCTAGGAGCTTGCTGAAGCATAACAAGATTATAGAATGTTAACAACAAACAAAACACAATATTTTTCTATTCCAGTACTTTTATAATCTGGCTGCTGTTAGAATTAATTACCTGGGAAGCTTTGCAAAAGTGCTGCTGCCTGGGCCCACCTCCAGACAAACTGAATCAGAATCCCTGCACATGGAGCTCATATACTGGTGATGCTGATGTACACCCAGCCTTGATGCTAAAGAAAGCCAGGGTTAGAGAAGCAGCCTGTCTCTAGTGGCAAAACTAGAAATTATTAAAATTTTCCTAATTTCAAAACTCTTTATAGCATACTACCACTATTATTCCAGGTAGTTAAAAATCTTTTCATTCAATAAATACTTAAGAGGCTGACGGACAAACACAATTAGTTGGGGGTAATCAGTAAATAGTCACAGATACCTGAAGTACAGTTGTGCTAGACAATTGTCTCCCAAAGCATAATAGACACCTGAAAAAATTAAACATTCTCTTTCCATAAGAATGATCAGAATATAACCATTCCCCAAATCTAAACTTATATGGACAGGTCAAATGCAGCGTAATCAAGGGAAAGCATTGGATTTACAACCAGTCTAGACCAGGTTTAAATTAGCATTGTGAATCACTGGAAAATGCATTGATCCCCATGGTCCCACTGTGCACTTATACAAAAGAGCACAGATGACACCTCCAGTGACCATAATGAAATCAAACAATGCAGGCAAATGATTCTAGCACAATTGGTGGGGCAACTCACAAATAATAATTATCTTCTTTTCCTTCTTTGAAGAAGATTAAAAAGGAGATTAACAAGTCAGTACAGCATACAAACTACCTAATTTGATCCCCATTTTATAAAAGCAGACAAGTGCTTAATTGGAGGTTATTTTTATATCTCATCCATAAATGCATGATCTCCTCTGGAAATCCTCCTCCTGTCTACCTGCTAGAATACTACAAACTGGGCATTTTCTTCTACTTCTCACTGGGATCTCTCAACAAAACTTCCTTCTCCCGTCATGGGCAGTCTGTCTATGCTGTTTTGCATGCAAGCTTTAATTGAGAATCACACTATTCCTTCACTGCAGCGTGGTGACAACGGAGCTGTGTGTGGTGCCTTCCATAAATGCTCTTGCAGAAATGCCACATACATTGGGTGCTCAAGATCAGAAGACATTCATGTGAGGTCAGAAACAACTGCATAGAAAGCCTGTGGCTTCCCTACAGGTTTTCATACAGAACTTTCCTGAAGGGATATGTTTTCTCAATAGGCCAAACCAGATCATTTTTCAGGTATATTCATGAAGAAAGCCTATATGTTTTCTTTAATAAACTCTTCCATTCCTAAAATGTTGCTAAATACCTTCCAATGTGGTAAATACCTTCTTGTTCAGTTGATGACTAGGAAAAGTGTCTCCTTCTAACTTAATTTCAATGAATGCAGCAGACAGTATTTACTGTTTTCAAAGTACAATGCTGAGTCTTCCACAGATAACAAAATGATGAAACCAACATTGACCCACCATGGAGGGTGGAATACATGCAAAATTTGAATAATGTTATAACAGAGGCCACACATAAACAAGAGCTTCAACCAAAATTCCCATATATTGGTTATAATTCAATCGAACCTTTCAGAATTTCTCATTGTGGATATTTTCCACCAAATTTTCCCAGGGTAAATGCATATCCTATAAAATGTTTATTTCATGTAAAAGTATATACCATAGGTTTATCTAAAGAAAAATTTTCAGATGGTAAAAGCAAATGGCTTACTAAAAACATTTCCTAAAATAAGTGTGGAATAAGTAAAGTTCCTCAGAATCTTAGCTAATATGAAAAATAAATAAATGCATAATTATATTTGAAAAGTGACAGCTCACATGAGGAAAAAATGTTGAAGACTTAGAAAGTTAAACAAAATTAATAGTTTTTTCAGTTTATTTCTCAGGAACTTTTTGTATATGAACATGTATTGTAAACTAAGAGGCAGATTAGATGAGAGCAATGCTCAGTATTTTGTTGTTGGTGGTGTTGTTTTTATTTTTGTTTTGTTTCATTTTCTTCCTCTAGCATCTTTCAAGACTCTAGTAGTACATAACCTCATTTTAGGAAACACTGACCAGGAATGTTACCTCAATACATTGTCTGTCCAATATTTAGGCAAATGACTATTCTAAGCCTTCGGATGAAGAGTTGCTCACCTACTAAATAGACCAAAGTCATCTCCAAACTGAGGTCAGGAATCCTAGGCTAGACCTTCATGACCCTCATAGGAAGTAAAACACAGCTCTTAACATACTACAGCATTATATACCCACTAAAAAGTAGTGGGAACACAATTGGATATACTTATGCTTTGACTTATTAAGGCAAGTTTCTGCCTTCATTTTGTGCCTAAGTACAAAATAACTTGAAATCTGAATCTATATGAGACAAAACCATTGGCCAATTCAGTCAAAACTAACTAAATCAGTTAAGTAAGCTGAGGATATTTAAGGGTGAACCTATACATTAGTGGCTTCAAGAGATGGCAGGGGAGAGAAGGAAAGGAAAAAAGGATTTTTTAAAATGACCGAGTCAAAAGAGCTTTTTCAAATGGGAAAGGGACCAAGAATTAGGAGAAGCAGGGAAAGATGGGAGGAGAAGGGAACAAAAATGAATTAAGACACGTTCTATTCATGTACAGACTCCCTAGGATAAATGCAATCATTAGGTATTGAAAACATGTACTAATAAAGATACACACACACAAAAAAAACAAATAAATACCACTTTGAATAAATTTTTAAAAACAGTGAATGTCATTGTGTTATTAAGAATCATTAGGGAAAGACTGTTCTTATAAAAATGTCCTTTAAATAGTGGTTATTATTTTCATAAACCTTCTAAATAACAACAAAGAAACTCTAACTCACTCAAACAAAATAAATGAAAAATTTTCTCCCAATTTTGGGACATTTTATGCAAAAATGCCTCAACCTGGGCTCCCCCAACCCAGCGCGTGAGCAGCAGCTGCTGAGCCCTGATGAAACCGGCTGCAGACACGGCTCAGGCTCTGGGGGACACAAGCGCGGGCTCCCTTCAGAAAGGCAACCCTAAGGGTCTAGAAATGCTTGTGGTTGTCAGGATCTGACAGTGGGACGGGTTTTTCTAGGCCTCTGGACAGAACCCCTGTGCACCCAGACACACCCCAAAGCGCCTGCTACGTACTGCAGTGAGTTTCATCACTCCAGTCGTCACAGTCGTTGTACCCATTACATTGCAGTGTCCTGGGGATGCAGATTCCGCTGGTGCACAGGAAGTGATCGCCCCCTCCGCAGAGCACTGAGAGAGAGAGAGAGAGAGAGAGAGAGAGAGAGAGAGAGAGAGAGAGTTAGAATAAAAGTTCTGATTTTTTTTTCTTTCAAATTTAAGAGAAACAAGTAATACAAAACTTTCCTTTGCTACCTAATGCAACATTTGTTTCCAGAAGTTTCACGGTCACCAATTGCTCTTTGGTATTTAGAACATTAATTGTGGAATTACCTGAGAATAATACACAGTGCTTGCCTCTAGAAAGCAGGAGAAAATTAACCGTGGCTTTCACAGGGAGACAGACATACATCTTCAGAGAAGAGAGAAGTAGCCGCATCAATTGCACAGTTTACCTGGGAGCTTTAGCCAAAGGGAGTACTTTTCTTAACAAATAGGATGTAAAAGTAGAGAACAATAATTGAGCAAAATTCAAAACAACTGTCTTCTAAAATGCTACCCGTGTAGCACAGAAAAAAGTCAACTGACACGTGCTAGAAAAGAGGCAGAGACCCCGTGCCCTGCACTTAAAGTGCATTTACTTGCCTTAATAAAAATGCCTCGTAAAATGTCACTTCTTATGTTTGGCATAAGGAATATAAAATGACATTAGCTAATATTTTTGTTCTACCTTTGCTCCACAGTTTCATACATCTGCTATTCTTTGTTCTTATTCGGTGTTCTTTTTTTTTTTTTTTTCAAAAGAGTCAACAAATATTCAAATACTTTAAAGTTACAAAAGATAATAAATTTAAAATCAAAAACTAAAAGCACATTTTAAAGAAGACCATTAGTAAAATGATAAATCTGCTCAACAAAATAAGTGTTAAAATAAATTTACATATTTGGTAATATACATCAAATGCCCAGTGATCTCATTTCTTGGACTTCATACAAAGAAAATCATTAGGAATGCATGTAAGTTTATTCTTAAGGCTACTCGCACCATCATGTTTTCTAATGAGGAAACTATGAGATAAAAATTATACAATAACAGCTAGCTGGTTAAATAAATTTAGTCCTTCCCTGATAGGGAATATTGCCACAGCCACTAGGAAAAAAAAGTTCATTATAGAATATAGTACTAAAACAAAGTTCAAGACACTACAACTATAATTTGTCATTAAAGGTACATCAAAATTATTCCTGATAATAAATTAAAGGTGATATTTATTTTCTTCACATTTTATTCTGTATTTTTTAAAGTTCTAATAATGATTACATAATGCTTTTTATTCAGGAAAAAGAAATACAGACTCCTAAAGTGTACACACAAAACCTTTGCATGAAGGTTCTGAAATCCCTTGGTCAGATAAACCCTTGAACTAAATAATGACAGCCAGGAAGTATGGAATATTTTAATTTAGAGCACAGAAAGACACATCAAAAGCTGCAGGTGGGAAGGTACATGTTTGCCATAATTTCACACTGTGTCCCTAAGACTCAGCAGAATGGCTAGTATTCAGAGAGCTCTAAGTTAATATTTGATGGGAAAGCTGTCTACATCTCCAATGTAGATGTAGACTATTATGGTTTCATTGTAAAATGTCCCCCCAAATTCTCACATGTTCAGAGGTGGTTTTTGGAAAGTGACTGGGGGCATGACACTCATCAATGAATTAATCCATTGATGAGGTTCTAACTGAATGTGCTGCTGAGAGATTCTGGTCACAGACAGTGGGCTACTGGGGCATGACCTGGAAGGGATGTCATTATCCTCTGCCACCCTTTTCTCTGTCTCTGTCCCTTTCTCTCTCTGTTTCTCACTGCTTCCTGGCTGCCACCAACTTAGCTGCAGTCCAAAAAGTCCTTTCACCCTGCTGTTTCTGTTTAAAGGCCAGCTAACCGAGGTTTGAAACTATGAAACAAAATAGACACCTCCTTTAAATTGCTAGTGCTGGGTATTTTGTCTGGGTGATGGATGGGAAAGTGACTAATACAGAGCCAATATACTGTCATAAAGAAAAAAAGAGAGAGAGAGGGAGAGGGAAGGAAGGAGAGGGAGGGAGAGACAGAGAGAGAAGAAAGAATGAAAGAAAGAGAGAGGAAGGAAGGAAGGGAGAAGAAAGAGAAAGAAAGAAAGAGAGAAAGAAAGAAAGAAAGAAAGAAAGAGAAAGAAAGAGGAAGAAAGAAGGAAAGAAAGAAAGAAAGAAAGAAAGAAAGAAAGAAAGAAAGAAAGAAAGAAAGAAAGAAAGAAAGAGAAAGAAGGAAATAAGAAAGAAAGAAAGAAAGAAAATATTTTTCCAACATAAGCAAGGAGATCGGGGCTTCAACATGTTGACTGTTAAGTTCTAGTTGATCTGGTAATCTGATGATACAGCATCAACGAAGTTCTTATTTTTCATTGTATTCCCAAATCAGCACTAATTATATCTGTGGATTTCAACTGCCAAAATATTCAACATGCTTAATGTATACATTGTTACAGAATTCAGCACAGGGCTACACTCCTAAAGGCTACACAGGAAACCAGATAAAAAATGAAATTTTGCCAGCCAGTCTACAGAATAGCCTCTCTCTAGGGTTAAGAGAAAATTTTTTTAATTTAAGGAGAAAAAGGGGAAAAAAAGCAGAAAAAGGGTACAAGCTATACAGAATTTCAGAAAAAAACTAAACAGTAGGAAATCACTAGTTAATGGATTGCATATTGTCATCTTAGAAATATTTGTCCAAGTTACAAGATTAAAGCATATAAAGTGGACATTCAAACAGCGAGACTGCAAATAGTTCTGTTCAATGACCCAACAAAACTCAGTAATATCATTGTCTATCTTATACACTTAAATTTACATGAACTCAGTAATATCATTATCTTATACACTTAAATTTACATGCGGTTATACCATTTAGAGCACTTTCTTTTCCTCTCTTTTGTACAATGACTATTACACATTTTGGGTTTTATTGCTCCCACAGTTCTTATTGCTTTTTTTGGAAAAGAGTAAAATCAAATGTGACTTACAGAACAGAATCGGTTAAATCAAAAGGTGGACATAATAAATAATGTAAAAACATAACACAAGGTGATCAACAATGATTACCATAATGCCTCCCGCTATCTCAAATAGAATTGCCTATATCATCAGTTATAATAAAATTGAACAGAACAGTAAAGAACGAAACCAACAAAACCAAAACATTGGAAACATTACAGGACTTCAAAAGTAGATAATAATCAACCAGTATGGGCATCATAATGAATCCCACTATCTTCACAGCTGTTGCTTAAACTTTCGAACCTGGTACTATCAAGTAAACCAGAATAGAGGAGCATCAGTCAAAACAAGATGGTGAGAGCAATACAGGGCTTCAAATCAAGTTAATAGAATTTCAAAGTGGATTACTATAAAATATCCTGCTTTTTAAAATTTGTTTTTCCTTTAATTAAAAGAATAAAAATAAAAAAGTGAATAATAAAATGGAGATTGAGATAAAAGAGGGCATAACAACTAAACAATGCAGATCAATACATAACCATTTAAGCAAATTAGTGTTTCACCACAAGATAATCCTGACATAAAAGTAGTTACCATATTGTCTCTTTCCTTGAGATCTTTCAGTATAACTTTGTATACTGTAGCATCAAATATATCAACATAGTGTATAACCACTCAAGAGAATGACAGTATTACAGGGTATTTAGAATCAACTAACAGATAATGAACAATGGTTTCTGTATAATCTCCTTGTCTATAAAAGTTTTTGTTTATACTATCACATATAATAAAATCCAATAAGATACAACATGTTAAGACCTATGGAGACAGAAGAACAAAAGCTTGATGGGACTTCAAAATAAGATGATACCAAATCAGCACTACCTATTATGATGTTGTTTTCTCCAAAACAGCTGTTCCTATCATCCAATCTTCTCTGCCTCATTTCTCTTCAGCTCTTTTTCTGTCATTAGTTGTCAGCTTGTCTTCTTCATTTTGTTTTCTGCTCCATTCATTGTGGCCTCTCTGCCACTATTTCTGGATTCTTCGTATTTTTCTTTTTTAGAATATCCTGCAGCATTCTCTGTAGAGTTGAATTGAACTATTTCCCTAGTTCCTCTTTATCCTGAAAGCACCTTGTTTTTCCATCAATTTCCAGGGATAGTTGTGCAGGATATATCAATCTTGGCTGTAGATTATTATCTTTCAAAGCTTGAATTATTTTCCCCCATGCTCTTCGTGATTTGATGGTTTGTGCTGAGAAGTCTGCTGTAATTCTGATGGGTGTTCCCTTGTAAGTGATCTGTTTCTTGTCTCTGACAGCTTTTAATATTCTGTTCTTATATTGGATTTCTGGTATTTTGATTATCATATGCCTGGGTGTAGCTCTGTTTGGGTTGTAGGTGGCTGAGGTCCTGTATGCTTCATACATCTGAGTATCTTTACCTTTTGCTAAATTAGGGAAATTCTCCTGGATTATTTCTGTGAATAGCTTTTGTAGTTCATTTGTTTGTGTCCCTACTTCTTCTTTTATGTTCTTAATTCTTAAGTTATAGATCCTCTTATCATCTTCTAGTCTTTGTATTATTGCTGTTTGTTTTTTTGTTATTTTTAAGAAGTTTTTCATTTCATACTCCCATATTACAAATCTGCCCTCCAGTTCAGATAATCTGTCCTTAGTTTCTTTCAAACTGTTATGCCAGTTTTGATAGAGTTTTTAGTTTTCTGGTAATCTCATTGAACCTGCTTCACGTATTCTATGTGTTCTCTATTTTCTCCATCAAATAATTCTCCCCTCTTTTTCTGTTCTTCCATTCCACCATCTACTTTTTCCTTGGGTGGTGCTTAGCATTTCTCTGACTATTCTGCTTACGTCTTGCTTCAGGTCATTAATAACTTCATTCCTGAACTCGTATATGAGGCTCTGGAGATAGCCTTTTATGTCTATTGTTGGCGTGTCTGCTATTGCCTGTTTCTCAGGATTGGGGGCCGAGGAGCCTTTCGTGTTGCTCCCTCTTCCCATACTCTTTGTTCCTTATATATGCAAGTGTATTTAAGAGGCCGAGCTTCCTTCCCTGTCGGCCACAGTCTGACCGA